GGAAGTTCATTTCTTCATGGCCCTGTGCTGTGCTAAACTGTGTTAGCATTTGTGCTGAAATGAAGAGTGTACATTTTTGACATATAAGTGTTAGAATTTCAGCTACTTTAGTTGAGACACAAAAAAATTGTTATTGATCAATAAAAGTATCCAAGGCAAAACAGTAACTATTGGTTTCGTTCTTAAAAGATTTATGAGGAAAAATAGAGAAAGCTCATATCTTTTTAATTTTTCTCTTTATAGGAGAATCAGTCTGTTGATCATTGTACTAAAATTCCAAGTCAAAGTAAGGCTTTGGTATGAATGAATGCCTTTGTATTTATGTGACTAAAAGAAGAGGAAGAAACCTGAATTTCTGCTTTCAAGGAAGTGAGACTAAAACAGCCTATTTCCTGCAGAAATGTGAAATGGACTACTTTACCTTAAAAACCCGTTCCTGCTTTCCTTGCTGAAGGAGTAACAGAAAGCAGGGACTTACGTTGTAGTTCCTGGAAAGGCATGCTTCCTATCCTTTGAGGGACAAAGCGTGAGCAGGAAGAATTCCTTGACATAGGATTTTAAGCACTGAAAACAGTTGCTTTCTGAATGAAGTACAAGCTGGAAGGCTACCTAAGAGGTTGCAGTTTAAAGACAAAGATGCACCATGAAGGGGCTTGACCACAGACAGTTTTCTAGCTACTTCTGTCCTAAGATCAGAATCTGCCCGGTTACAGAGTTGTATTACTTGGCAGAAGCTTATGGAGGACTATGTGAAACCTTCAAGTTTCCTTGTGGTCCCGAAGGCTGAAAGTGCTGAGCTTGATCGGAGAACGTTTTTCTTTGATTCGCTCAGTGCATCACAGCAGTTAAGCCAGCAGTGGCGGTTCGTGTTGTGAACATGTGAGAGCTCTCACAGTGAACACGGCAGGGCTGGCGCCCCCCTGGCACCAAGGGAAAGAGCAGCCAGGCGCTTGGCACCCCGGACTTGTTCACGCTGTGAAGGTTTTAGCTCTTTGAATCTGTCAGAATAGTCAGATGTGAGTCCTATGTTTTGAGTAACTATATGGGAAAATATTACTGCTTTTCTGCTAATCACATTAAATGGCTTCTTAAAGGGGAGACAGTAATGACTAGAGAGTCAAGTTTGGGGAAACGTCTTATGCAACCCAGTTTGGGCTCGTTACTGAAGAATTAAAGTAACACTTCATGCCCTTCCCTCTAAAGCTGCTTCATGCACGGTGGAGTTTTAGGGCAGCTATAATTTAATGATGAGCCCTATGTGGGAAGCACCTGTTACTCGAAAGAGTTCGTTCTGCTTACGACTATTCTTTCAGTGGTCCTAGGAGCAGGGAGGACAAAGTATTATTTCCAACCTCCTGTTAGGGGAAACACTCAGAAGTGAAGATAAACTCAGACCAGATCCTTCCGTTAATTCCACGAGGTATAAAATTTCCCTCTCTGCTGGTTACCTGCTTTTTCAACTCTCAACTTTTCAGCCCATGGGCCACTTCAGTTGATCAACAATAATAAAACAATAAAGTTGTTTAAGGACAATATTTATTGGTACACGCTGTATGCCAGCCACTGTTGTAAGCACTTCCAAGTCCTTTAAAGGTCACAACTGTAGGGAGTAGATATCACTATTAACCTTAATTAGTAACAGGGACATTGAGTTACGGAAAGGTTGTGATTTGCCTGAAGTCACATAACTAATGACAGAAGAAGAAATCTAACCTAGACCTTCTGACTCCTGAGCCCGTGTTCTTAATAATTATAGCCATCCTCAATTTAAAAAGCTCCACAAATGCATGAATTTTTTCCCTCAATGGTAAAAGGTATATTTGCTTAATGCTTAAATATGTGCCCAAGGATTTTATAGTATTTTAGAGGTTTGTTTTATTTCTGTGTACTTTATAATTAGATAATTGGTCAAAAATGATTTTCTAAACCTAAAGAAGGAAGGTTTTGGTACCCTCAGTACATGTGGTTCAGAGCCTAGAGACTGGCAAAAACCACAACTTGAGAACTATTATTGAAGCCTCAAAAGTTTTTAGTAAAATTGCCAGTCCGACACGTAAAACTTAACCCTGGAGATAAAACCCGGAGAAGGAGAAGCAAGTTAAATTTGAATGAGATTTAAGCTTTCAGAGGTTCTAAAGGTGACAGACTATTTTATTTCACATCTATGAAAAATGGTAGGTTTATTAATACAAAATGTAGCACTTTTAAATTAGAAATTTAAAGTATTCCAAGTTAGTTTTAAAGATGTTTTGCTGCCTTGTAAAAGCTTAGAAAGGGCTATTTCCCACAAAAGAGAAGTTCTTCTATTGTCATTTTAAAAAATACACACATTAGAAATGATAACAGAAAGAGGGACAGCTAATGCAGAACAAATACAGGACCTTGTGTGGGACAACATTCATTCCAGTATTTTCTGTACCTTTTTTATTCCACCCCAACTCAAACACAAAAAGCTCGCCACATTCTAGTTCAAATTGGTAAAAAGCTGAGAAGCACTTGACACTGTTCCAAAGGAAGTATAGCAACTCTAAACTAGCTTTAAAAATATTAAGGAAAACAAAACCCCTGGTAGTGGAGCGTTGGGATGAAATGGGCATTCTTGCTTGGTGTTCATTTAACTCCTGATGAAGTCAAAACCATGGTATCCTGCCCCTGAGTGAATTAAAGAGACAGCATTATATAGAAAAGCAGAGGTGGCATCTGAAAGGTGGCAGAGGTAAGTGGAGGGCAGAAAGTTAGACGAAAGCCTTCAAGACCAGGGGCAGTCACCCATTCTAGTCCCCACTTAACCTCACTCTGGGAACCGAGTGCAGGAGTCGTCCTGGGGTGTGGGCCCAGCATGGCTACGCAACCCACCAAGCACGGTGTGGGGATGAGGATCCTGACCTCAGAGCTGAGCTTTCTTCAGCCACAGGCTCATTCTCTAGACCAACACTCAGAAAGGAAACCATGAAAAAAGTGTGTTTTCTTACCTGTCACTGAGTGGGGCAAGTCATTTTCTTTGCAGGCAAAAATAAAGGTTCTGATCTGTGCTATTGTACAGAAAAAAAAAAAAATGAAAGTAAGCATAATGTATGATACAGATGTCCTCAAGTGAATTAGCGTCCTGGACTCAGTGAGTTTCCAAACCAGCCAAAGCTTAGGGAGTGTGTCATTCACCTGCATGCAACCAGGGTCCTGAGTGAGGTGGTTCTGGCTTAAAAGAGCAAGTACTGGAAATCCCTACTGTCCGCCGTCTGCCATGCGTCTCCAGAGATGCTGAGTGCTAGCGGTGCCTAGTCAGTAGGGCTTCATTGAACAGGGTACTTACTGCTTTGATCCAAAGTTAACACAACATTCACAGCGAAGATCAGGGAATGTGTCATAAGACGACGCTGTTAGAACAACATGCTTACTGCCTTTCAGTACTTGAATGAGATTGGCTCAGACCATGGCAAACGCCGAGGTTGAGTGGGGGGAGGGGGCGATCCGCCCTGCTCACCCAACCAGCAGATGGTACTGAGTGCTCATGGTTCATGCAGGGCCTTTCATCCAGGGATGTCTGAGCTTAGTCTTGAAGGAAGAAACAAAGGTAAAGATGTGATTTGTCACTAGAAGGAATAGTGAGTTACCTCTGCAAGTCCAGACACCTGACTCCTTGGCACAGCTCTTGCCAGACTAGCTGTAGAACCTTGGACAAGCCACCTCCTCCCTTTGAGATCCAGGTTACCACTCAATGGCCAGAAGGGGAGTTTTAACTGGTTGGTTGCCACGGCCAGGGTCACAGCTAGATCTCTAGGTTCTGTGAGACCCACTGAGAGCGTCAAGGTAGATTTTCTTTGGTGTCCAAATGAATTAACCATTATAAATTCCTACACTTTCAGAAGAAATCTGTAATGTGTGCCACACGCCTTTCTCTGAAATTGGGTGGACTGACAGTCTATTCTAACAGATGTGCAGAGGAAGACGTGTCCTAGGTTTGTGCTGTCTGACATGGCAGCCACTAACCACATGTGGCTGTTTGAATTTTAGTTCAATTTAAATGTAATTAAAATTTCAGAGTCTCCTCCCTCCCACTCCAACCCTGTCCTCTACCTCCCCCACCCCACCCCCCTAAAATTTCAGTTCTTCTGTCACACTAGCCACATTTCAAGTGCTCAGCAGCCACCCACATGTGGCTGGTGTCTACTGTATCAGGCAGTGCAGAATTGCACAAAGTCTGTTGCTCTGCACAGCTCTAGACCACCAACTGCAGCGTTTCGTCCCTTGGTGCAGGGCATCAACGTTTATGCCCTACAGTGACTGTGTCCATCTTTGGGGAATGGAAAAAAATGGATTAAATCCCATTTGGAAAAAGCAGTGTAAAAACCCTTTAGACAATGGACGTTGGCATTGAACAGGAGTCTGAGAGATGGGGGGTTGGAGGGCATTAAAAAGGAATTAAGAAACACCTGAACCATTCTGAGCTCTGGGTCTTGACTAGACCTGAGCTTCTGTAGGACACAGGGCCCCTAGAGGAGGGTTCCTCAGAGAGGTTGTCACCCCATGCACTGCTGATGCCAACAACGAAAAAGTATGAGGGGAGCAGGGCTGCCCTAATCCGAGAAAATCAGGGACCCTCTCAACATTCAGTGGTGAGAAAAAGGTTAGTCATGCTGGGCCCATGTTATAGAAGAGAAAGTTGTTACATAGCCAGTCAAGGGGGGGGGCAGGGGGAGTGATTCAGGCTTTCTGGAAATAGGGGAGAGTTGGCTCCTTAGCTACAGGTCTCTGCAATCAAAGCCAGCTTATGTTTTGAGGCTTCGACTCGAGTGTTAGTAAGAAAGTACCAGTGATACAGTAAGAAGGCTTGTCTGCAGATTTGGCATATTGGTCCTGCCTCCCTGTCGGCCCTGCTGGCAAGGGCCGTCAGGTGGGGAAGGGAAGAAATCAGAGGCGATGGCGGGAAGAGTGACATTTTAGCCGCAGCCTGGAAGCCATCTGTGAAGGGAGTCACCTTTCTCTTCTGGACCTGTTTGCAGGCGCAGCCGCAGGGGACGACACCGAGGATGCGAGCACCGAGTTCACCGACAGTATTGAGGAGGAGGCTGCACACCACAGCCACCAGCAAGTGAGTCTGAGTGGGTCTGGGCCCCAGGGTGGAAGGCTCGTAGCTCCGGGGTCTGGGGTCTCCTGCAGCTCTGGCGGACCTGGAGTGAGAAGCTGTCTCTCTGCATAACCCACTCCCCAGTCCTGTCCCTGCCTCCTCGAGCTTCCTAGTCACCTGCCAACCTCTGTCCTCATTTCTTTCCTCTCAGTACACCCTTTTGTGTTTGCTCCTCCTCTCTCTCACTCCTGCTCCCTGCCCGCCACCCGCCTTTGTCCCCATGTCCCTTTGTCCCTACGTCTATAGCTATAGCTTCAGGAGAATTTTTTACTTACAACAAGACCACAGACACTTCCCCTCTTAGGCTTTTGTAACTGAAACACACCACTGAAGACAGAGAGTCATCGAAGGGCTACTTGGGGAGGTGGCGGGGCCTGGGACCGGCCTCAGGAGAGTGCTCTCCGAGAAACCCTAAGAGGATTGAAATCATCTCAGTGAAATCTCATTATACCAGAGAGAGCTTTGCTGGGCAACCTGACAGACCACCCAGGTCATGACATGTCAGTGACCAGGAGATGACACTTCAGAACTTGTGAAACCTCAGAACTTGGAACCCAAGGCTGAAACCCTGTTCTTACCAACCATCCATGCAGGAATAACCAGCATGTTCTCAAGCTCAAGAATTAAATGTCCTGGACCTCAGAGATTAAGTCACCTACAGTGATCCCATGCACTCACTGGTATTCTGGTGTGTCTCCACCTTGCCCGGTGACATTTAGCAGTCACATCTCCTAGGTGGACCATGCCTGTGACACTGAGTTATTAAGGAGAAAGTGGACTATTGGTATCTGTCCTTCTTCAGAAGCAGCTGGGCATTCCAGTGATAACTTTCGTGGGGCTGTTAGGAAAACTATAGGGCAAATGCGGCTTTCTGGGTCTTCTTGTATATCTGCACAAGAAAAAGAGGAGACACCCTAATAAACCAACAAGAAGAGCCCAAGTGAGCAGTCCCCAAATCTCACAGGATTTGGTACAGTCTTTGGCTCTTGAGGACATAATAGTTGTCTGGAATATCTCATGGCCTCCACACAGATTTACTTTCTATCCAGATCCTCTCTCTATTGCTCTAGACACACCTGACCCTTAATTTTCCCACGAGTTTCTGCATGAGCTCTACTTATCCTTCTGCTTGAACAGCTTCTGCTGAGTCCTAACTGGTGCTTATGACTTTAATTATGTACACTACAGCCCTTTGCACAGTCCGTCTGCCTCTCACTTCCTGCTTTCAGTGAGGATTTTGGGTGAGCAAGAGGGATGTTCAGGATAACCAAATGTCCACCCTAAGACAGCTAGATTGGGATGTCAGCCGGTCACTGATGGTTATTGCTACTGTGGGACAGGATTAACTTCAGAATAAATGAAGAAGAGACAGAATAAATGAAGAGAGCCAGGTTCTGATTGACAAGTCCTTCACTCTAATTCTCAGTTGCAGGCAAACTGGTTAGTAAAGTCATTTCTTCCTTAACTTTCTTTCCTATAGCCTAGCATGGAGAAAATGAACAGAGCACATTTTGAGAAGGTCAGTTCAACCCCAAAGTAAACCTTTACATTGGGGCATTTGTATTTTTCTTTCAATGTCTTCCCTATTACTTGGCATAGGAGATAATAAATTATAGGTTAAAAAGAAATCTTTGGATTGGGGCTTGACTCATGATAGATAAAGTATATACCTATTGGATGAAGGATATCTTGGGTAAGCACCATTTTGCTTTCCATCACCTTTCCTTGAAACTCAAATCTTCAGTTTTGGGTAAGAGGTGTATGAAATCATTGTAAATTTACTTCAACTTTTCTGGAGCTTGAGGGTGTGACTCTTTTGCTACCAATTAAATAAAGCTTGTTTTGCCATAACTGTTTTGTGTCCAGATTCTCAAAACTGTGTTTGCTCGTGTCCAGGGAAATGGTCCCTTAAGATTAGGCTTTGAGCTTCTTTTAGTTATATCCTTAGAAGGTTGACTTTGTTCTCAACACAAAGCTCCCTCCCACCTCAAGCATGCACACAGTGCCCTAACAGACACATCCAGCTTTGTGTTGCTTCCAAGACAAGAACCACCTTTTGGCCAAAGCAAGTTGCTTTATTCTTATATTTGAACTCGCCCACCTCAGGACATCTCAGGTCCAGCCATGCCGGTAATCTCCATTCTCAGTCAAATGTAAGATCTGTAATAAATACCTAAGAAATTCCTGTGAAAGAAAGTAGAATCATCAATTATGGTCTTTTCTTATTTGAACTTTTGCAATGGAAAATTTTTTTTATCAAGAATCAAGGTTCAAATAAAAGGGAAAGTCAGTAGACTTAGTGTGACAAACTTGAGGAATGAATATTTTTAATGCCCTTACTGCTATCAGAGACTGATTTTCACTGTGAGATGTGAAGCAATAGGGTAAAAACAACACAACTCTAGTCAAACAAGAGGTCAAAGCTGCATGTAGACCTTTGTGGGGCAAATGGGAGCCCAGGACACACAAAAGTTGAGTTACTGTGCACGCAATAAAACAGAGGAATTAGAAAACATGAAAAAAAAGAAAAAAAACCTATAAGAGATGCAATTAAAAAAAGACCTAAAGGATTTATATTACCACCGCACATACTTGGGGTTTCATTTGGGTTGGGGAGAGAAATATTAGCTTTCATATATTTGCATTTAAAATGTAAAGACAAGTTAGCCAAAGTAAGTTCTCTTTGACATGGAAATATGAAAACTCAAATTAGCCTGGGAACAAATCTGATCTCTCTTTTCTCATTTAATTAATTAATTAATTTATTAATTTATTTATTTATTTTGATTAATCCTCACCCGAGGATATTTTTCCATTGGTTTTTAGAGAGTGTAGAAGAGAGGGAGGGAGAGAGATGGTAGAGAGAGAAACATCTGTGAGACACATTGATTGGTTGCCTCCTGCACATCCCCAACCGGGACAGGGCTCAAACCTGCAACCTAGGCAATGTGCCCTTCACCAGGAATCAAACCCGAGACCCTTCAGTCTGCAGGCCAATACTCTAACTGCTGAGCCAAACTGACCAGGGCTTTTTTCTCATTTTATTTTATTTTTTATCCTCACCTGAGAACATTTTTTGCATGTATCTTCAAATAGAGCCGGAGGGAGAAAGAGGAAGAGAGAGAGAGAGAGGAACATGGATGTGAGAGAGACACATGGAGTGGTTACCACCCACACGATCACACAACCCCAACCGGGGCCGGGGACAAACGGCAACCGAGGTACATGCCCTTAGCGGAACCGAACTCGGGACTCTCCGGTCCATGGGCCGATGCTCTAACTGCTGAGCCAAACCAGCCAGGGCCTTTTTTCTCATTTTAAAATGGGAAATTAGACCAGATGGATCTTATGGTCCCTTTCAGTGTCAACATTCTATGGATCTTAATTTTTTATTTAAAGAAAGTAGGTATATTTAAACCAATTGAAAAAGATATAGATCCAGAAGGCACATTAAAAATAGGTGGGCATTATTTTTAAGCAGAAGGATCCCTTAAAGTTCAGAAAAGAACAAAAGTTGTGGCCATATTCAAAGCGGATGGCAATGTTGAGTTAGTTGCAAAGAGTTGATATAGAAAGATACCACAGTTTAAACGAGGGCTGAGGTTATAAACTTCCAAAAGTGGTTTTATCCAGTCCCCCTTTCTTTGTCTTATCCCGGATGCTTGGTGGCACATGCAGGGATGGCCACCAGTCTAACCCAGCTTGGCAGCGGAGGCACAGAGACAGGCATCCCAGAGCCTCCCAAATCCCAGGCTCACACTCCCCAGTGGGATTGGCTGCCTAGGAAATGAGCAATTGTGTTTGCTCATCTCTCTCACCTTTGACGTGGATACGCGTCCCTTCACAACCCCAGCTGCTTTGCTACTAATCGCCATTGCGCGTGCCATTAATCAACCCACCACACACCTGTAGCCTAGATCTTACTACGCTCTGTTACGAAGCCAAAAGCAAAGGACAGGCCAAGCCAAGCAGCTCTATTGATGATCAACCCATTTACGGTCCTCTGCACTCTGTTCTGTTGAACATGTTTGTGACCTGAATGAAGGAATAAAACATTTAATTAACTTTACAATGTGTCCCTAGCCAAGTGGTCACATGCTTTATGGAAAGCCACATAAATATTTTCATGACTTTGATGAATTGAGAGATGATCTTGTATAGCCAGAATGAATTTATTAGTGACAAGTACAGGTCATAATATTTATAGAAATAAAAGATGACCCAGAAATAGCTATGGGGAAAGGTGGGATATTAGGAGTTCAAAACTGACCTGAAGTTAGGTAAAACCTCAAGATGTTGCTACTGAGAGGAAATTCAACGTGGCATTGGACTATAAGATTAATGTTGGACAGACAGGCAAGTTGTTGTACTAAAATAATTAGTCATAGGCTAAGTCGATTATCATACTCAGATTTTGGTTTCTATGTTTTTAAAAGTGTGGGGGAAACTGGACAGGAGCCAAGATGGACAATAAGGAAGTCTGAAAGTTAAAAATTCTCATGTGAGGGAAAACCACACAATCCACTTTAATTGAAACTGAGGAGTAATGTCAAGAGTGTCCTAAAAAAAAAAAGGGATCTTGGGCCCTGGCCAGTTTGGCTCAGCGGTTAGAGCATTGGCCTGCGGTCCAGGGAGACCCGGGTTTGGTTCCCGCTAAGGGCATGTATCTTGGTTGCAGTTTGTCCCCGGCCCTGGTTGGATCGTGCGGATGGCAGCCACTCGATGTGTCCCTTTCACCTCGATGTTTCTCTCTCTCCCTCTCTCTCCCTCCTACTCTATCTGAACAAAAAAATGAGAAAAAAAATAAAAAAGGGGCCCTGGCCGGTTTGGCTCAGCGGTTAGAGCGTTGGCCTGCGGTACAGAGAGACCCGGGTTCGGTTCCCGCTAAGGGCACGTACCTTGGTTGCAGTTTGTCCCCGGCCCTGGTTGGTCGTGCGGGTGTCCCTTCACATCGATGTTTCTCTCGCTCTCTCTTCCTCTCTCTCCCTCCCGCTCTGTCTGAACAAAAAATGCAAAAATGTCCTCGGGTGAGGATAAAAAAAAATAAAAATAAAAAAAGGAGGATCTTGGGAAGTTGTTTCCGCCTTGTTTTCTTCTCACATGCTCACATTTGTAGCGAGAGCTTGGCTGGTAGCATCAGCACAAGGGTGATGAACCAACAAGTGAAATTGGCAGTTGTTGGTGTGGTTCCCCTGCTGCCAGTGAAGTTCAGCCTGCGTTGTCATACCTGCAGCTCCGCCCACGTCCTGATTCTGTGATGGGACACCTGGCTGCTGAGCGCCCTCAGTCCTCCCTCTGAAGCATCCTTTTGGAGTCTGAGTTACAGGCGCAGCCTGAGGACTTAAGCTCTGGTATCTCGAGCCATGATCTTCCAAGTCATGGGCTCAAGTGTCCTGGAGCTGACGGAGCTTCCTGACTTGGGAGAAGACACTCGGGGAACTCTGCCCCCTCAGGAGGAGGGTCACTGCACCCGCACTTGCCCATCCTGTTTAAAGCTCATTCGTTTGCATTTGTTTTTTATTACATGCTTGAGTTTTTTCTCTCCCCCACCTCTGGAATCTCCTCCTGCCCCTGGCAACAATTCTCCCTGCGCCCTGGGTGTGTCCTCCCCACCCAAAGGGTCTCCAGGCCCTGGCGCTGAGGGAGGCCGTGGGAGCTCACTTTAGGTCTGCCTTTTCCCCCACTCGAGGCTGCCTCTGAGACCTGATGTTCCCCTTGGATCCTCTTGGGTGACTTGAGTTCTTTAAACCATGATTTTCGTGCAGCTCATCAAGGCGGCTTTGGAGAAGAGCCTGGCAGCAGTGGAGACCCAGAGTGTGCCTGTCTCCCCTCCGTCCCCGCCAGGAGGGGAGAGCCCCCGGGGTCTTCAGGAGGAAATGCTGCACCTCAGAGCGGAGATCCACCGGCACCTGGAGGAGAAGAGGAGAGCTGAGGGGGAACTGAAAGAGCTGAAGGCTCAAATTGAGGAAGCCGGGTTCTCCTCCGTGGCCCACATCAGGTAGGACAAGCCCCAGAGATGGGGAGCCCGCCAGTCTCGAGGCCGCCATAGCCAAGGGCCTCGCCTGGCTGCAGCCAAGGCATCCGCGCGGTCTCGGGGCTCCTTGGCCCACCTGCCAGGTTCCATGCATTTATGGTTCTACAAGTTCTTTAGAGACAGTGACTAATATTAGGTAATGGTGACTATCAATGATTACCATTCAGATTATACAGATAAATCTGGTCTTAATTCAGTATGGTGACGTTTATTATTAGCATCCATACGATAGTCATGAGTGGGGGTCTCCTCGTTGTATGGCTGGTATTGCTCTTTTGAATTGACTGGAACATATGAGGAATCTCCTGGTACCCAAGATGCTCCCCTGCTGTATGCAGAACCAAACAGTCCACGAGGAGAATTTGTACAGAGGCCCCTCCATCCCCACTCAGAAGCATGTGTCCTTGAATCACAGAGCAGCAGTTTTATTAACCCCTGGCATCTTATCAACTTTACAAGATTGGCAAATGGCTGATTCACTGGCTAGATTGGCTGTTCTGTCTTTAATGGCTCCCCACCACCACCACCACCAAATAAATAAATAAATAAATAAATAAATAAATAAATAAATAATGCTTGGGGGACATGCCAGTAAGGTAGAGCTAATTCATTTATTCATTCATCCCTGATTGTCCATAGTCAACATGGCCTGTCGTTAGAGCACAGCTGTGCAGATGTGCAACTCATTGATGCTCTCTTGTTTCCTGCCTATTACATGCCACTTGAACATCCCTGAATCACAGAATAATGCTACTACCAAAGGGGCCTTGGCATGTAGCCCAAGGCTCTTGTTTCATAGTCGAGGAAACTTAGACCTGAAAAGTTCTAGGAACTTGCTCAAGGTTGCACAGAGCCCTGGCTCCAAATTTTTAAAATCTAGACCTTTTCTTTTATACTGTGTACTTTGTCAAACAATTATTATTATTATTATTATTTTAACTAATTTATTTTTGTTTCAGATGTTTCTCCTTTCCCGCCCCCCACCCCAGACACCCTCCTTCCTACCCTCCCCCCAGCATAGTTGTCTGTGTCAATTAGTTATGCATACATGCATATGAGTTCTTCGGTTTATCTCATCCCTTCCCCCAACCTCCTCTGAAGTTTGTCAGTCTAAATCATACTCCTTTCTATGTCTCTGGGTCTATTTTGTTCACCAGCTTTTTTGTTCATTATATTCCACAAATAAGTGAGATCATGTGGTATTTGTCTTTCTCTGATTGGCTTGTTTCACTTAGCATGATACTCTCCAGGTCCCTCCATGTCATCTCAAAGGATAGGAGATCTTTCTTTCTTACAGCTGCACAGTGTTCCATTGTATCAAACAATTTTTTTTTATCCTCACCCGAGGACATTTTTTCATTTTTTGTTCAGATAGAGTGGGAGGGAGAGAGTGGAAGAGAGAAAAAGAGAAACATCGACGTGAAAGGGACACATCGAGTGGCTGCCACCCGCACGACCCAAGACCCAACCAGGGCCAGGGACAAACTGCAACCGAGATACGTGCCCTTAGCGGGAACCGAACTCAGGTCTCTCTGGACCACAGGCCGACGCTGTAACCGTTGAGCCAAACTGGCCAGGGCTGTCAAACAATTTTTGAAATATTCTTGTCATCATGGTTCTCTTTTGCTGGTTCTTTTACTCTGAATTATCATGATATTTCTTTCCTTAATTAAAATTTAAGTTTTCCTTAAACTCTGTTATCTGTAAACTCAGTTGAGCTGTCATGGGTAAGAACAGTATATCTCTTTTGAATTTACAGTTGAACCTACAGTCAAGCCATATGTACATATTTTTGTGAATTACTTTTCCTTTTCCCCCCCAGAGTTGACCTGAAACTCTGATTTGTTTAACTCTCCACCCAACCTTAAGATTCACTGGCAGTGTTAGAATTTATGTAACGCATCACCTATCTCTTGAGAAGATTTTGTTGAGCTTTGCTTTCACCAGTTTGTATTGTGAAAACATTAGGGTTTTCCTCAAAGCATAAAGTTATAATATTAAATATTCTTCTCTATACTACACATGTGCCCCTTTCTCTCCTGACACCTCAGTTTTGGTAAAATACCAGCTCCCTTTTCCTCCATTGAGGAAACTCTCATAGGTAGTGTGTCTCAGTCCCATGTCCTAAAGTATTTCCTTCCTTCCTTCATACGAGACAAGCTCCGCCGTTGGTCCCAAGAATTCAGGATTCTGAGAAATTCCGTCCAGGGGCATAGCCAACCGGTGGTGCTGCCAGCTGGGGATCACTCATTTCCTTTGCCCCTTCTGGTCGGCAGTTCTCAATGTAGCACACCTGAGAAGCACCTGCGGCGCTTAAGTAACCATGCAGATGATAGCCTGGGCTCTGACGCCCGTCCTGGGATCAGGGTGCTAGCATGCCTCAGGTCTGCAGCTGGGACAGCAGCATCAAACGGCTTCTCCACTGCAGACCCTCAGCTAACCATTCACATTTGTCATTTCATTTAAACACACAATAACTCCACTAGGTAAGTGTCGCAATCCTTATTTTGTATAAAGGGAGACCGAGGCTCAGAGAGGTTAGGTGAACTGGCTACTTGAGTGAATTGCCTTGTTAAAGCTGTGGTTTTTTACAGCTCCCACCAACTCTACTAAAGGGTTGGGCGGCAGGAAAAAGTGGGTCTAGAATGTCTTGGTGAAAATTATTTAAGTCCATTTTATTTCTTCTACAAATGTGAATGTTCAATGTGGAGGCACTGGGGATACAGGGTGAACAGGACAGGCAGAGCCCCTGCTCGTGAAGGTGATCTCCTATCACAGGAGTTGGATATGAAGCAGATAATCGCAGTGTGTCAGATCGATGTCCTGATTGGTATTATTTCTTTCTTTCGTGTTCCTAGGTCCCCATTTCTCATCTAGTAGTTGAAAACTGACTTATGATATTAATAGACCTGTAGAATCCATAATAATAAATTTGTTCCAGGCAAAGTCTTTTTTTTTTTTTTTTAACAGTGCAAGTACCCTGGTTTATTCCAGGGACCATTGAAAGTTAGAACAATACTCTGTGTGGCATGGGTAAAGACAATAAAACTGGGTGTCTGAAGTCCAAGACTTTTAGTGATGGTGCTGCCACCAAGTAGCTGCGGGAGTGCAGGCAAGTCTCTTACTCCTCCCGAGCCTTGGTTTTCTTGTCTATAAAGAGAGTGTTGTCACAGGCCTCTGAGGTCGCTTCGTGCTCTGGGGTGTCTGAGTCTATGATGGACTGGGATGAGGGTAAAGGGGCTTTTAGGAACTCAGGCCAAGACCAGCCCTGGCCCCTGATGATGTGTGTTTCCTGCAGGAACACCATGCTGAGCCTTTGCCTTGAGAATGCAGAGCTGAAAGAGCAGATGGGAGAAGCAATGTCTGATGGGTGGGAGGCCGAGGAGGAGGACAAGGAGAAGGGCGAGGCGATGGTGGAGACTGCGGTGGCCAAAGGGGGTCTGAATGAGAAGAGCCTCCAGGCTGAGTTCAGAAAGCTCCAGGGAAAGCTGAAGAATGCCCACAACATCATCAGCCTCCTCAAAGAACAGCTGGTGCTGAGCAGCAAGGAAGGAAATCGTAAACTTAATCCCGAGCTCCTTGTGCACCTGGCCAGGGAGATGGACGGAATGAACGCAGAGCCGGTTTGTTCTCCTGGGAAGCACCAGTGCCAGGAAGAGGAGGACGTGAGTGTGAGGCCCCGCCCCAGACCCCGGAGCCTTGACCTTGGGGCTGCCCTTGCAGTGGATGCCCACCAAGTAAGTGTGGGATCAGATGCAATGAAAGGCCTTGGGAAAAGGGATGGGGTGTCATTTTTCACGTTGTGGGTCAGTAGGTACCGAGGGAAGGGCACCTCTGCACCGCAGGCGTGGTCATAATGTTCCTCACACATTCGGCCCTTAGAAAGGTTTCACAATACCTCCTGCATGCCCCACTGGGGATTCACAATACCAACATGCCCGGCTGGCGCGGCTCAGTGCTTGGACATAGACCCATGCACTAGGAGGTCGCCGGTTCCATTCCTGGTCAGGGCACGTGCCCAGGTTATGGGCCCAATCCCCAGGGGGGCAGGCAGAAGGCGGCCAATCGATGTTCTCTCTCATCAGTGTTTCTATCTCTCTCTCCCTCTCCCTTCCTCTCTCTAAAATCAATAAAGAAAAAAAAAATTTTTTAAGAGGAAGGTTTCACAACACTATCCCATTAATATTTCTCAAGTAATTCATTTTCCATAGATATATCTTGAGTGCTTACTGCTCCAGTAACACACTAGGTGTGGGCAGCAGGCAGCAGGACCTGGTTTCTGTCCTTTCTGTCCTGCGGGTACTCAGGAGGAGGCCACAGAGCACTGCGGAGGGTGTGGTGCAGGGACGCATGGGTTTCAAGAAGTCCAGACACGCAGTGTGTGACGGCGTCTTTCCCCGTCACTGCCACTTTTTTCCCTTTTTTGAATTTATTGGGGTGACACTGGTTAACACAATTACACAGGTTTCAGGTGCACAATTCTATAACATGTCATCTGTACATGTACTGTGGGTTCGCCACCCCAAGTCAAGTCTCCATCCATCACCATTTACCCCCCCACCCTCCGCACCTCCTTTCCCCCCTTCCTCTCTGCCATTTTCATCACAGCTCATCACAGGGGTCTGTTCCTGGGTCTCAGAAGGGGTTATCAGGATCCTTTTTAAGGGGAGGGGTTTTGCTGAGGATGAAATGAAATGGAGAATGCTGAGGATTTGGAAAGGACAACCGGATCGGGAATGCTGGAATGGATGAGTGGAGGTTTCTCCCTCTTCCCTTTCCAACTCCTGAACAGACATTTCCTGAGAGCTCCTCCGAAGGCTCGACTGGCACTGTGCTGTGTGCCACAGATACTGAGATGAATAAAACATGACCCCAGCTCTCCAGAGCTCCAACTGGAAAGCAAGTCCCTGCCAAGTGCATGAGCAGTGCTGTGACAGACGCATGAATAAACCCACAGGGCTCAGAAGGGCAAAGGCCCTCACTGCCCAGGGCATGACCTCAGACTGCCCTGATCCCTCACTTCCTGTGCTGGCTCCTTTCACAGCTGGATAACCAGGCCCAAGCACATGACCCTGGGCCGCATTCGGAATTTAGCCTCCCAGGACCCACCAAGCACCTGCGTTCCCAGCTGGCACAATGCAGACAGCGCTATCAAGATCTCCAGGAGAAGCTGCTGATATCGGAAGCCACTGTGTTTGCCCAGGCCAATCAGCTGGAGAAATACAGGGTCATGTTCAGTAAGTCTTGAGTTCCTCATCACCAAATGTCTATCTTCTCCCTGAGAAGCTACATGCTTTGCAGACTTCACTTTTCTACCCCAACCTCAAAATAAACGCAGCCCTGACCACGGTCCTGGAGGTGGAGGTGGATAGTTGGCTGTCCTTGGCAGGTGGCAGAGGAGATGGAGGCATGAAGCCAGTTTGCAGAGAGAGTGCAGGGAGGAGATGGGCCGACAGCTGGGTTTGGTGATTTCTGGCCTGGTCAGCAAACTGCCTCACTCAGCGTCTACCAGTTGTTTCTCTTCTGCTCCTCTTCGCACACATCAGATTCTTCAAAAAGGCGTCATCACCGTTGGTTTGGAGTCAGGGCCTTCCGATGGAACGTCCTACGGTGATGGAAGTGTTCCAAATCCACATCACATGTGGTGATTGGACACATGAACTGGGGTTCAACTCAGGAATTTCATGTTTTATTTAACTTTAATTAATTAGTATAAAATAGTTACATGCGGCTAGTAGCAACCTCACTGGACAGTGCAGATCCGGATGTCGGGATTCTAAACTGGTTCAGCTCCGTTCGCGTATTTACCGAGCTTCTGCTGCTAGGGCCCTTGCTACTCTTCCAGGGCTTCTGGAGATGAGGGTATGCGAGACCCGTCTAAAGATGTCTGGTCCCAACTGAGCCTGGGCGTCTGTGGGTAAGAGCATGAGTGGCAGACATAGGCTTATCCTGGTGAAGGAAGTCCGGTCTCTCCTACCCCAGGCATCCAAAGAAGCATACATCCCACTCCGGATCCGACTTCCCGCCCACGGACCGCGTCTGCGCGCTGAGTATGCAAGAAACTCAGATGCCCTGTAACACCTTCTGTTTCTTCCGCGCAGGTGAGTCCTTGGTGAGGCAGGACAGCAAGCAGGTTCAGGTGGACCTCCAGGACCTGGGCTACGAGACCTGTGGCAGAAGTGAGAACGAGGCCGAGCGGGAGGAAAGCACCAGCCCCGGTAAGAGGACGCGTGCGGTCACCTTCCCTCCCAGAGCCAGCTTCCCCATCCGGGTGCTGTTGGCCAGTCCCACGCCTGGCGGGGAGGGGCGGGGAGGCGGTGTACGGTAGGCTGAAGAGGACACAGGATCAGAGAGGACAGGAAGTTTGGAGGAAAACTCTTGCCCAACATGAGACTGAGTGTGAGTTTGAATTTCTACAATTAGTTTCCAACATACTACTGTTAAAGAAAAAACTGTTCTATCCAACTGATTGTTATAGAAAAAAAAAATACTAAGCCTTACTTATTAATGAAAAGACCAAATGAGCATTAATGAGCTTTGGGGAATAAGCAAACCATAAGTCTTTGACTGTCGGGACCAAATGGAAATCCAGAAGAGGAGAAACACACAGTAACACAGGATTAGTGGCACTGTATTTGAATGCTGGTCCAGCCGGGGCTCAATAAAGACCTGTTCTGAGTGTGCTCGCATAATCCTTGTCCTTGTGACCAAAGATGTCTTTGTCTTTCCTCAGAATGTGATGAGCACGACAGCCCCAGGAAGACAGGCCTCATGGAGGGGGTGTGCTCTCAGCAGGAGCGCGTGGGCTGCCCCCTGGCCGGTCCCCCTGGGAAGAAGCCCTTGGAGAGCCAGCTGGGAAAGCAGGGGGAGTTCCAGGCATATGGGAAGTCGGAAGACATCTCTGTCCTCCATAAGGACATCAAAGACCTGAAGGCCCAGCTGCAGGCTGCCCACAAGATCATTCAAAACCTCAAGAGTCGGGTCCGGTCTCTCTCCGTCACCAGTGATTACTCATCCAGTCTGGAGAGACCCCGCAAGCTAAAGGCTGTTGGCACCCTCGAGGGATCGTCACCGCACAGTGTCACTGACGAGGATGAGGGGTGGCTGTCTGATGGCACTGGGGCCTTCTACCCCCCAGGGCTGCAGGCGAAAAAGGACCTGGAGAGCCTGCTCCAGAGAGTGTCCCAGCTGGAGGCCCAGCTCCCAAAAACCGGACTAGAAGGGAAGCTGGCCGAGGAGCTGCGGTCAGCCTCGTGGCCTGGGTGAGGAGGGCATTCCTCGGACCCTTATAGGTTGACGATGTCTGAGTTTGTGCTTGGAGTAGGGTAGCCGGGCAGGTAGAAGAGAAGACCCATCAGGGCACTGTTTCAATGGTCGACCAGGTCTGCAGGAAGGACAGGGAGGCAGCCAGCAGGGCGTTGGATGGTCGCCCCGTCTGGGAGATTGCAGGTCTCTGGGGCCCCTCCCGGAAATATTAAAGTGAGAGCCGACGTGGCGTAGTAAGACTGCAGCTGCACTGCCTGGGCTCGGGCCCCGGCTCTGGGTCACTAGCTGTGCAGCCTGTTTCTCTTCCTGAGCCTATTTTCTTCTGTGTTAAGTGGGGATTATAAGAGAACTTATTTCTTGGGTGGTTATGAGGTTTAAGTGAATTAATACAAGTACTTATGATAATGCCTAGCATCTATTAAGCTCTCAATACCTCTTGCCATAATTCTTCTTCTTCTTGACATTTTGTGTTGAAAAACACTAGACAGACATCCATCTTGGTATCTGTCCTGGGTAACAAACCACCCCAAAGCTTAAACAATAACTTATGTGGATTGACTGGGCTCAGCTCGGCTCTCACTCGGGGGCTCTGTCACATGGCTGCCATCCAAGGGTAGACAGGGCTGGAGTCTTCTGAAAGGTCTGGCTGGCGACCTGCTCCTTGGCTTCTCTTTTTCTCCACGAGGCTTCTTTTCCACGGCCTCTCCTCCTGGCCTGGGCTTCCCACGGGCTAGTGTCTGAGCGTAGCTTCATTCTGCGTGGCAGCTGGCTTCCGAGGGACAGGAAGTGGACGTTGCCAGGCCAGTTGGGGGCTACTGTGGACTCGGCACTGTGTCACTTCCACTGTATTGTTTTGGTCAAAGTGGCCACAGAGCCCAGTCAGATTTAAGGGGTGGAGAACGTCCACCTGCTGGTGGCAGCAGCAAAGCCTCGCTGCACCGGCGGTGGGACAGGAGCGGGGTCCTGGCGGCTGTGCGGTGCGGCCGTAGGGCAGACGGTCTGAGAGACAGAAGACTTGGTAGGTCCTGTCCAGACGCAACATTAAGTGACTTTCCTCAGTTTATTTTTAATATTGATTCAGTACATACTCAATAAATATACTTAGCATTTAAGAGTATCACCTGTGAGCCTACTTAACAGGGGCCTACGTAAAATAGTGTGGCTGTCTTGCCCCCACAGAACCTAGGATTCATTGTTGGACATATGACTGACACATGTAAAACAGGGGAGACAGTGGCATAAACTGTTTGATGCAACAGTCTCTCAAGCAGAGGGTACTCCTAGATACCCCCTTCAGTCAGGCGCCAGAAAACCCCTGGGGAATTAGAGATGCTCTCAAAAATCTCTGTGGAAGCCCCCTAATGTCTCTCACTCTTCCATTCTTACTCTTTCCTCCTTTTCCCTGCGTTAGGAAATACGACTCCCTGATTCAGGATCAGGCCCGAGAACTATCCTACCTGCGCCAGAAAATACGAGAAGGGAGAGGTATCTGTTATCTTCTCACCCAGCATGCAAAAGACACAGTAAAATCCTTTGAGGACCTCCTGAGGAGCAATGACATTGACTACTACCTGGGGCAGAGCTTCCGGGAGCAGCTGGCCCAGGGCAGCCAGCTCACGGACAGGCTCGCCAGCAAACTCAGCACCAGTAAGTCGGCCACAGGGCTGTGGGACACTTAGCCACTCTCGGCCGCAGGCCCAGGTGGTTGCCACACCTCCACAGCAGGTCCCCCCACCCCCAGCATCCACCGGGGATCCAGTTTCCACCCCACTCCCCGGGGGCCATCACAAGATCAGCCTATGAGGGTAGGAATGGTGGGAAGAGGAACACGCAGGGTTGGAGAGGCCATGGTGACTGCTGCAGAAGGTCATCGTCACGGAGTGTGACAGCAGGAAAGGAGGCTGCATCCACACAGTGCTAAGGGGGAGAAAGGGAGATGAGACAGAGGACCTAGTGACAGTGACAAGAGCCCGGGTGCTGCCGTGAACTTGCTTTGGGCAAATGGCTTATCCGTTTGGTGTCTATTTCTTCACTATTGCGTGGTATCGTATAGGAACGTAATTCAGACACAGCTGCAGCACGGGGCCCTGGTGGGCATGGTCTAGGCACCGACTGCCGTGGCACAAGGGCCAGGAATGCTGGTTATCACTGACGCCCTTTGCTCAGAGAGAACCTCCTGAGCACAGCAGGAGTCTGCAGGGCCAACCCCACACATCCAGTAGCAGGTGCCGAGGTGGGGCAGGGCCACGGTCATCTCAGAGCGAGCAGGCTGCACGTGAGGGCCGCGAGGGGCCGTGGCATGCAGCTGGGGTCAGCACGTGGCAGGCTTGGCGGCTGGATTAGTCCAGGGGGAGTGCCTTTTAAACGTTCTCATGTTGATTTAGGGCAGAGGAATTCTTGATGGTGATCACCAGGCCAGGGAAGGTCTGCCCGGTGAGCTCAGAAAAGCTGCTGGGTCTTCTCGAAAGACAGAGCCTGAGGCCTCCCAGAATAATTCTCCCACACACCCTGGACACACACACTGATCGTTAGTCTGTACACAAATAGACCCCTGCATTTATGGTGTGTGAAGTGGGGCCTGTTTAATGTTTTTACTATTTCTTTTCTGAATTTGGTTTGCAGAAGATCATAAAAGTGAGAAAGATCAAAGTGGACTTGAGCCGCTGGCCCTCAGGTAATTCCAAATAGGATCTGGTAAAGGGATCAGGAACTTTAAACATGGCTGCATCTTCACAAATCGGGGTGGGGGTGGGTAGGGAAAATGCTGATTGTAATTAATTTATTCATGGAACACTTCACTGTTGTTTTTAACCTAATTCTTTACTCTCTTTTGACTTATTCTATTGATGTCTATTTGCATATTCATTCTCCAGGCTTGGTGACCTAGAGTCGGTCTGATTAAAAGTAAACTAACCATGTTTCAGGGGTCCTTGGCACCCCCAACGGTCTCCTCTGCTTCTCCCTGCTGTGTGTTTATTGATTTTTTTTTTAGAGAGAGAGAGGAAGGGAGAGATAGAAACATCGATGTGAGAGAGAAACATCGATCAGCTGCCTCCCACACACCCTACAACCTGGGCATGTGCCCTGATCAGGAATTGAACTGAGACCTCTCAGTCCATGGGACAGTGCTCAACCCACTGAGCCACACCAGCCAGGCCCCCTCTGTGTTTAAAGACCAGGTGTACTTTCCGTGCAGTTGACTTGCCCCCAGTTGAGTTGGTAGCCGCCCAATTTCCTTGAGAAAAAAGGATTATGTTGCAGTTCCCAGTGCAAAGGCCTGGCAGTGCGGATCCCTGGGAAGCTCAGGGCCTTAGAGCCCAGTTAGCCTCGTAGTGCACAGAAAAAATGGGCTGAGTTTGCTGTAGCCACTAGTTTGAGCCACTTTGTGTTATGTGTGTGCTTTAGACCACACAGTGCTTCTCAAAATATCCATGGTACAGGACAAAGAATTTTTGTTTTTGCTTCTATTTTCATTTATTTTTTTAATCCTCCCCTGAGGATTATTTTTCTATTTATCTTCATAGAGAGTGGGAGGGAGGGGGAGAGAGAAGGAGAAAGAGAGAAACATCAATGTGAGAGAGACACGTCACCTGGTTGCCTCCCACATGACCCCAACCAGGCTGGGATGAACTGCAACCAAGGTACATGCCCTTGACTGGAATCGAACCCGCGACTCTTTGGTCTGTGGGCCGACTCTCTAATCGGTGAGCCAAACTGGCCAGGGCTATTTTCATTTCTAATCCGTCAGACACGCAGATGGTCTGCACCTCAGTCGTCCAGGTGCTTTCACTTACATTGCCCTTGGATGTCCAGGCAATGTCAGACGGCTGTTTCTCAGTGCTTACCTTCCATTTCTCACTCATGTTGTTGGGGTCGGGTAACCAGTAGTTCTCAGGCTGCGGCTGTAGTGGGGGCCATACTTCGAGCAGTGCCTTAGAGGGCTGGCTCAGTCCCCACTAGTCCTCAGTGTATCATGTGGCCAGTGCACTGGGTAGCTCTCGCTTCCCCTCCCTCTGCACCCCTCCTACTCCCCGCCCCTAAGCAGAGATGGGTTATTTTCACTATTCTCTGCAGGAATGGTCCCCTGGACTTCTGTGGCTTTTCCCACATGTGCCAGTCAGGACTAGCTGGTCCGGTGACCTTGATTTCACCTATTGTCCTCCCTCACCCCACTAGGCTCAGCAGGGAGCTGCAGGAGAAGGAGAAGGTGATCGAGGTCCTGCAGGCCAAGCTGGATGCCCGGTCCCTCACGCCCTCCAGCAGCCACGCCTTGTCTGACTCCCACCGCTCCCCCAGCAGCTCCTCCCTCCTGTCTGATGAGCTGGAAGCCTGCTCTGACATGGACATAGCCAGCGAGTACACCCACTATGAAGAGAAGAAAGCTTCACCTGGTCACCCAGGTAGCCTCCCTTTCTGAGCTGTACCAGCTTTATGTAGGCTGAGAGGAGACCTCCATAACCCGGCCTTATAGCTCCACCTTGGTGTGGATCAGGCTGGACACAGCTCTGGGACCAAGCGCCAAGCACAGGCCCCAGTGAGTTAGGATCTTTGCTCTGCTCCTGACTCTACAACTTACCCCTGTCACCAGGTCTCAGCAGCCTGTGCACGCTGTGAGACCCTAGGCAAGCCACGGGAGGGAGAAAGAAGATCGTGGCGGACTTCCCCATGGCCTCCTGAGCACAGAACCCAGCCTCCTTCTTTAGGATGGGGCCTCTGACCCTTCCTGCAGTGGTCTTGTTAGCTGCATCCCACAGATGCTGCCGGTCTTGCCTGGTATTACTGGAGGTGCTATTTTCATGGGTTCAGAACTCTGAGCCCCAGCATCACCTCTAAAGTGTCTTGCCTCACTGAAGGGGCTGTCTGTACGTAAGGAATTGAACCCTGCTCACAATGAACTTTCCCTGAAAGCAAGGCTCTGCTCTGGTAGCCCTGTTTAATGTAAGGCCAGGCTCCAGTTCTCTGTAGAACATCAAACATTTTCTTTCATTCATGGGTTTTGTAGATTCCATCCATCATTCAAGTCATTCTGCTGTACTGTCTTCTAAACCATCATCAACCACTGCACCTCAGGGGGTTAAGGCCAAACCCAGCAGCAACCCCAGCAGCTTGCCTGCTCCCCAGAACCCTGCCCGGGAGGCCAGCCAGGCCCATCCAGGTATGCAACAGTCAGCAGGCAGGGGGCTGGTCTCCCCTCCCCCAGCTGCCTGTTTGACTTCAGAGACAGATGTGTCCATTGTTAGGGGCTTATTTGCATCAAATCTGAGACAAAATCAAGAGACCATTCTAATTTGCTAGTTGTGTCTGACTTTTCTTTGTTTGAAATATTTTAGAAAGATAAGTAATCCACAACAGACTTTGAGCTGCATACCAATTCTGACCAGTAGTTGGCTAATTGTTTTTAAATAAACATTTTTATTTCTTTCTCTCATTTCACCCAGGGGAGCAAAGAGGCAAAATATTTTTCCTGGGATTATAGTAGCCAAAGAACAAAAAGAAATTCACATCCAGGGCTCCCCATACATGTCACCCATTTTACCTGCTCCACAGCCTCTGCGGTAGGCGGGGCTGCCTACTTCCTAGCCCAGGAGGCCTCAGTATCCTCCGACAAGGTTCTGTTCATATTGCATTATCATTTAGGATTTATAATGGGCTCACAGTCCTTGATGTGTGCATGTGTGCACCCTGGGGCCAGGTGGAAGCATACATCTCGTTTACCTGCCTCAGTGTAGTGCCCAGGGGTGCACAGCTTAGTCCCAGATCTGCACCAGCCATGGCAGGGAAAGGGCAAACCTAGTCTTGGCTTCCTCCTCCACCCACTACTGGCTGCTCTGTTCAGTGTGGTTTGTGGTGGAGTCGGCTTTGTGTAGAGGTGCCCCCAGAAAGTGCAGTGCTTCCTTCTGTCGCCCCCACCTCTCCTGAGGACAAGTCAGCCAAAAGCTGAAGGGAGGAGGATGTGTCTGAGTTGGCCTGGGCCTGAGCCTGGGTCTGGGCTCAAGTTTCTCAGCCAGAGTGAGCAGCAGCCCGACCAGGAACTCACAAGGAAGAGCTGCTCACCTAGCGCTAGACATCTGCATAAATGCATTGGGTCAAACAGGGCAGAAGGTCAGGGTGTTAAGATCAGAATGCCTCCTGCAGGATGCCTGGGCTGTGTCACTTGGCAACTCAGGCGTCTTTGCAGGACTGCTCTGATCCAGAGTCAGCACCCTGGGGTGATGATGTAGAACGGGTGTGATGTAGAACGTAAGCATGGTCTTCCACGTGAGATGTTCTCCACAGGTCAGCCTTGGTTCCTGCTCCTTCTGTGGGCTACCTGCCCTATAACTGTTTTTTCTTTTTCTTTTCCTTTATTGATTTTAGAGAGAGAGGAAGGGAGAGGGAGAGTGAGATAGAAACATTGATGAGAGAGAACATTGACTGGCCACCTCCTTCATGCCCCCCACTGGGGACTTAGCCCACAACCTGGGCATATGCCCTGACTGGGAATTGAACCAGTGACCACTTGGTGCATGGGTCAATACTCAACCACTGAGCCACACCTGCCAGGCTGTTTTGTGGTTTTTTAACCCTCACCTGAAGATGCTTATTGATTTTAGAGAGAAGGGAAGGGGGGGAAAGGGAGAGAGAAAGAGAGAAACATTGATCTACCACCTCCTATATGTGCCATGACCAGGGATGAAATCCACAACCTAGGTATGCGCCCTAACAGAAATCAAACCCACAACCTTTTGGTGTATGAGGATGACACTCCAACTGAGCCACCCACCAGGACCCTAACCTGTTTCTAGGAAAGAAGAGACAGATTCAAATGTCAGAACCTCCCAGATTCCTAGACCTGTCTGCAGATTAGCTGCATAATGACCACCTGTGAAGATTCATCTACATGCAAATTTCCAAACTCTACTCCCAGAGTTTCAGTGGGTCTGCTTTAGGGCCCCAGGAGTCTGTGTATTAAGAATTTTCCCCAAGTGATACAAGTGCCCAGACCAGTTTGTAAACCACCGTGTCAAAGCCACTTTGAGGAGGCCTCTATTTTCCATTTGGTTAATGAACATATTGATTTGGGATTCTGAAATCTGTTCCTATCAGAGTCTTGAATTGCATGCATTAATAATGCAAAATTTCGCACAGCCTAGTCTACTCCTGCCCTCCTTGGGGTGAGCCCTAATGCTTTTAGAAAAAGGAGTTCTGGGTGTAGGGTGAGTCTTATCTTAGGGAAGGACTGGCACACGCTGGGAGCGGAACCCCAGGGGCCCGGGAAAGCATGCAGACACTGCTCTCCCGACCTGGGTGCCCAGGGTTGCTGCCATGGGGCTGCGGCTGCCCGGCTTGTGGCAATGCCATTTTGCCTCTGTAGCCAACTGTTTCCAAGATGAGCAGAGACTATGGATGCAGGATAGCCCTGGCAGGGAGGCGGCGGGTCAGCCAGGCCAGCCTCGTGGGTAGCAGTGCTCACCCTCAGCCACGCCGGTGATCACTCTTCGCCGTCCCAGGCAGCCCCACACTGAATGATGGCTACTCCCCACGCAGGCAACTGGTCAGGGAATCGTTTCATCTTCTCAATCTTTACTCATTCCTTTCTCGCTAATGTTCTCTACTTTCTCCCTAACTTTCTGTTTCTAGGCCTCACTTTGTCCTCCATGCCCACGCTGGTTAGCCTCCCCCAGGCACCGTTGCCCTCAGCTCCACCCAACCTGCCTTTCCGCTCCACTGGCCCCCCCCTCCTGGGCTGCTGTGAGGCACCCGCGGTGTCCCTGGCCGAGGCTCAGCAGGAGCTGCAGATGCTGCAGAAGCAGCTGGGAGAAAGTGAGCACTTCCGCTGCATTTGTGTGCCTGCGCGTGGCAGCTCCACCCCGCGTCGCTCCGCCCCCGCGTCGCTCTGCATGGCTTTGGTTTGATGGCAGAGTGTTTAAGAAGCCTAGTAGTCCGCATTACCAGTGGACGACAGCGGATAACTCTGCTTGCTTTATTCTGGAAATGCATTTACTCTCATCTTTCTGGTATGTGTGTCCCATCTGTTAACAGGCTTATAGTTCACCAGGCCCTAGACCTTTGCTGTCCCACTGCTGACAGTGTGGAGTACCACCCACCAGGTGTGCTGAAGGCCTGGCGCCCTGGGGCACGCATGCTGGCAGGGTGTGGGGAGCAGTTGTGATAAAGACGGTCATGTTCAGTGGGATCCTTCTGGTGGCCATTATACCCTCCTGCTGTGAAATGCTCTGAATCAAGTTCAGATCCTGGCATCCTCAGGTGGGGGCCAAAAAAGGTAGCGGTACAGGGACTCAGAAGGGGGTGACAGCCCCTCTTCCTATTGCACAAGGTTCATTTCTGCCCCTAGACAGGAGATACGTGGGCAGCTAGATTCAGAAGCACAGGCTTGATGTCTGTTGTGAATTCTGCCCTCTGACTCAGAGCTGATGTTATGTAGTCACAGAATTCATAGACTGTGCAGGCATCTTCTAGAAAAGGGTTTGATATGCGTATGGGCTACAGGCCCCTCGTAAAAATGTGTGTGTGTAACCACTTACAGCTTAGAAAAACGAAGAAAAGAACTTCACATGACAAATTTGCTTTCTAGTAGTGCTTAAAACAAAACAACTACAAAGTATTTTGAAATGACCTTAAAACCACATGTTGTGTCCACAGAGAAGCTCAGGCGAGTAAGGATCAGCAGGGAGTCCAAGGACCTAGACCTCAGCCCAGAGCTCAAATACCCAAAGCCAACAAAGCCATTCAGACCAGCTTATTTCTTCTGTCAACCCTGAACATGGATACACTGCCCTCTCAGGTTTCCACAACCAGGTAGACGAGGACCATTTTTAGGAGAGTTTGTATATCTTCCTTTTTGCAGGCATTGAAGTCCCAGGGGCTCCCTTTTGCTATCAGCTCACACAAGTACAGCAGTGTACGCTTACCTAGCAACATGAACCTGATCTTACCTGAGCCCCACACAACTTGCATGAGAGGGAGAGCCAGAGAGGGGAACTGAGGCTCAGGGGAGTGAAGTCACTTGTTCAAGGTCACTAGTAGTGGGAGAGATGGGCCTGAATCTGGTCTTCTGCTCCTGGTTCCACGTTTCCATTATAGCTTTTCTGTGTAGGATGGTTTTAGTACCATCCTGCTCAGAGCATGCGCGGAGCTCAGCTGAACAAATCCTGGAGGCCCCTTGCAGCAATTTTCTCTCCCTTTCTTTAGAGACCAGTGGAAAGGGCTGGTGTGTCTGACCTAGAACTTATTGCTTTAGCTGTTCTGGAACCAACAACTGAGGGATGACAAAGTTGTCCCATGCCAAAATGGCAAGCGTGTTCTCTAGCTTACTTTTTCCCTTTTCAGTTTCCATTTACCTTCGTCCGAGGGGAAATTAGGAGAGCACTGCATAGAACGGGGTCTGGGATGTGGACTGAGGTCATACCTAGTCTGGGGCATTGACCAGAGTTGGGGTGGCCCCAGCATTGGAGAGGAAGATTGTAGCCCTTTCTCTGCCCTCCTGCGGTGCAGGCCTCTCCCAGGGACCATTGCTTACCAATGCTCCTTGTTTGCTTTGTACCAAGGCTCTGTGTGGACAGGAGTGCATGGCTGCTCTCAGGCCACTGTGGGGCCAAATTCTTGTGCAAGAGTCTGTCTGGTGTCCTTGCATGATTTAGGGCATGTGCTCTGTGTTGTGTGGCCAGGGAGACCGGAAAATGAGAGAACTGATCACTGGTACTGACAGTCTTGGAAGCTCCTCTGACCTCAGTTACAGTAAGCTGACCATCTGGTTCCCCCCTTTGCCTTGTGTTGGCGTGGGTTGAAGGGGGTAGGAAATCCCATCTTCGTTGAATCCCAAGTAGAATTTGGAGGCTTACATTTTTCATCCTCTTCTTTAGCGTCCAGTGACCCTAATTAATATCTGTATTTTGGAAGTTGGGGAAGGAGAGACCTATGACGATATTTCCCAAATGTTGCTGCCTATTAGAATCACCTGGGATAATTTAAAAACATCCAGTGCGCAAGCTGTACCCCATACCAATTAAGGCAACATCTCTAGGGGTCCAGGCATCGGTATATATATTTTTTACACTGTCCCAAGTGTTTCTAGTATGTAGCCAAAGTTGAGGACCAATTACAGATGGAGATAAAATTTGGCAAGTGTTAATTCATTAGCCCCTCAGAGGAGTCTGGCTTGGCGGGAGGAAGTGTGAGCTCACTTCTGTTTGCTTAGGCGGAGCTACCTGTTTACTCTGCTGCCCGTGGATATAATCCCTGAAAGAGAGCAGTCTTATGAATATGAATATAAAACTACAGCCCTGCCCACCCTCCATCTCTCCCCAAGCTGGGCTTCTTTTTACACAGAGCAGAGATGATGGTGCTCAAGGGCCCATGATGTCCTAAGATCTGTGACAGCATCAGCCTATGAAATGAAAGGTCCTCCCTCCCTCCCTCCGTGCAAGTCTTCAGTGATTCTCCAGGCAGGAGTGATGAACCATGTGGGGTGAGGTCCAGATCACCACTTGCCTTCCATAGAGCCTCTGCAGCCTCAGCAAAGGGTTCTTTGGTCTGGAGGAATTAGAGTGACTATGTCTGGCTGGATTTCATGTCCCCTTTTCCTCCGGCAGTCCCAAAGGAGAAAGGGAAAACTGACTGGTTAGCTTCTGGGGAAGGCAAGTAGTCATAGGCCAACAAAATAGTCCTGTTCACAAGCGTGCTCATGCTGTGTCCTGTCACACTACTGACCCCTGATGTTGGGAGTGAGTCCTACTCCTGGAACTTCCCTGGACTCCGTCATAGGAAACAGGAGTCAGCCCGGGTTCACTGGACTTCTCTTTTGTGTACACTGGTGACTTTCAGATACTTTATCTGTGCCCTGCCTCTTGGTGTCTGATACAGGGCCTCTAGATTATGCCTTCATCCAGGTGACATTCCACAGTGGGCGGGACCTGACATCCACCTGCCCCCTTCGGTGTCTGTTCTGGGCAGTCACAGGCTTCCCCGCTGACCTTCCCTCTGGGGCTGGTTCTCAGTCGTGTTTCTTTCTGTCCAGGTGTCAGCACCGTCCATCCTACCTCCCCAGCTACACTGCGGAGCAACCATTCAGAAGCCAGCTTTTCCCACCACCTCCACCCTGCCCAGCCCCACTCTCCTCCGAGAGGCACCCTAGAACTGGGCAGAATCCTGGAGCCGCGGTACCTGGGCAGCAGTGGCCCCTGGGATATGATGAGGCCTCAGAAAGGGAGCGTATCTGGGGACCTCTCCTCAGGCTCCTCCGTGTGCCAGCTGAACGCCAAGCCCACAGGTACAGCGAACCCCACGTAGAGTCTATGCCGTTCCTCCTGGGCAGGGCTCTGTCATCTCCCCGCAGTCCCTGGGGTGGAATGGAAGCGCGTGGCAGGGCTTGTGCATCCTCCCGCCCTGCAGGGCCTCCGGCCTTGGAGCAGGAGGGGGGGGGGTGCTGGGAGATTCACCCTGCCCAGGGCCCCCATGAGTGCGGGGCTGGGAGATCGCCCTGCCCAGGGCCCCCATGAGTGCGGGGCTGGGAGATCGCCCTGCCCAGGGCCCCCATGAGTGCGGGGCTGGGAGATCCACCCTGCCCAGGGCCCCCATGAGTGCGGGGCTGGGAGATCCACCCTGCCCAGGGCCCCCATGAGTGCGGGGCTGGGAGAGTCCGCCCTGCCCAGGGCCCCCATGAGTGCGGGGCTGGGAGATCGCCCTGCCCAGGGCCCCCATGAGTGCGGGGCTGGGAGAGTCCGCCCTGCCCAGGGCCCCCATGAGTGCGGGGCTGGGAGAGTCCGCCCTGCCCAGGGCCCCCATGAGTGCGGGGCTGGGAGAGTCCGCCCTGCCCAGGGCCCCCATGAGTGCGGGGCTGGGAGAGTCCGCCCTGCCCAGGGCCCCCATGAGTGCGGGGCTGGGAGAGTCCACCCTGCCCAGGGCCCCCATGAGTGCGGGGCTGGGAGATCTGCCCTGCCCAGGGCCCCCATGAGTGCGGGGCTGGGAGATCCACCCTGCCCAGGGCCTCCATGAGTGCGGGGCTGGGAGATCGCCCTGCCCAGGGCCCCCATGAGTGCGGGGCTGGGAGATCTGCCCTGCCCAGGGCCTCCATGAGTGCGGGGCTGGGAGATCCACCCTGCCCAGGGCCTCCATGAGTGCGGGGCTGGGAGATCCACCCTGCCCAGGGCCTCCATGAGTGCGGGGCTGGGAGATCGCCCTGCCCAGGGCCCCCATGAGTGCGGGGCTGGGAGATCTGCCCTGCCCAGGGCCTCCATGAGTGCGGGGCTGGGAGATCCACCCTGCCCAGGGCCTCCATGAGTGCGGGGCTGGGAGATCCGCCCTGCCCAGGGCCCCCATGAGTGCGGGGCTGGGAGATCGCCCTGCCCAGGGCCCCCATGAGTGCGGGGCTGGGAGATCGCCCTGCCCAGGGCCTCCATGAGTGCGGGGCTGGGAGATCGCCCTGCCCAGGGCCCCCATGAGTGCGGGGCTGGGAGATCCACCCTGCCCAGGGCCTCCATGAGTGCGGGGCTGGGAGATCCACCCTGCCCAGGGCCTCCATGAGTGCGGGGCTGGGAGATCACCCTGCCCAGGGCCTCCATGAGTGCGGGGCTGGGAGATCGCCCTGCCCAGGGCCTCCACTGGCGCGGGGCTCCTGCACCCTGAGCCCCACAGCCCACTCCAGGACCCTTCCAGGACACCAGGCACCACACACAGGACACTCCCTCAGTCAAGAATGCCCCAGAGAGGTGGCTGTTTCTACACAGTTCCTCACCCCGTTAAGGTGTCCTGGATACAAACTGTTCCTCTACCCCTAGCTCTCCTGGTCAGGGGCAGGAGACCACACCACGTGGACCGGTTAGCTCTACAGGTGAACACGGGGTGCAGTTCAGTTCCAACAGTAGGACGATTGTCGTTTTCAGAAAAAGGCAGGGCCTGAAGCAAATGGTGCTGGTGGTCCAGTCTGTCCTCGGCACCTCCCACTTCAGTTTGCTGCCTCTGTCACCCTCTCCCTGGGAACTTCCTCCTGTCTCATGGGCCTTCAGACCAGTGCAGCTCCCCTTCCTGCCTTCATAGGCAAGGTGCCGGGAGGGCAGCCCTGAGGGCCGCTGACCATGCGGGATGAGCTGCTGTTCCTGGGAGTTGACCTGCGGCCTCTCTCAGAGGGCGGAGGAGGAGCGTTGTGTCTTGCTTGAGAATGTTCCATCAACTGTCAGTCAGAGGAGTGGTATTAGGGTAGCGGAGGCCTTCGCTGTCACACCAAAGTCACACTGAGGAGGTGACCACACCTTCCAGATGCCAGGCAGACCCTGTCCCCAGCCTTGTTGTTTTTCTAAACCATGTGGCCCTCCCTGACACTCACTGGTCACACCGGTCACTGCACTCTGCTGGTAACTCCCGTGCACTTAGCCCTGTGGGGAAGGAGGTCCCCGAGGCTGCGCAGCGCCAGGCTGTCCCATGTTTGACAGTGCCCTGTGTTCCGGGGTGCCCATGTGAGACGATGCAGTTGGCAGAAGGATGGTGATTTTAGGGATCTTGCTGAGAAGCCAGTGACCAAGCCCTCCCTTCCCCAACCCACCCCGCTGCCCGACGTGGGCCCACTTGTGACCAGGATTCTCTCCTGGCCTGGTGGTGGCTGCAGGGGCTGACCTGCTGGAGGAGCATCTTGGTGAAATCCGGAGCCTGCGCCAGCGCCTGGAGGAGTCCATCTGCATCAACGACCGCCTGCGGGAGCAGCTGGAACACCGGCTCAGCTCCACTGCCCGCGGAAGCGGTAGGCAGGCCGGGCTTCCTGGTTTCCTGGTTCTGGTCATAATCAGGGAGCTGTGGAAGGAGGGCCCCAGGGGGAGCTTGGCGGTATTCAAAGCACAGTGGGCGGCTTTCCGCCAGAAACTCCCTGCAAACAGTCCAGCAAGGCAGCTGGGCAAGTACTGTTATCCTTACTTTGTAAATTGATGTAGGGGACCTCAGAGAGTGACCTTCCCTGTGGCAGCACCTACAGGGATGTCCCCCGAGCCATCTGACTTCTCATCCATTCTTAATCTGCTCACATATGTCCTGCTGACTCCTCTGTGCCCTTGTCATGTGGTTGGCCAGTGGTAGAGCCAGGTCGTAGGGGCCCTCCCCCAGCCACTTACTGAGGTGCCCCCCCCCCACTCTTCCCCCAGGATGCTGTCACTGGGAGCCATCCCTCTCACACACCTTGTCCTACCCACAGTGCAGCAGCAGCTCTTGGGCGGAATGAGTTTCCTGGCATGTGATAATGCAACAGAGAGCCCACTGGGAGGAGGACAGGAAGCCAGGCCTTCGGCCCATCAGGCTGTAGGCCAGGGCCCATCCTGGGGTTTCCACTGGGTTGGGACAGTATCTTTGGAGAGGCTGAAGGGTCAACTTTGAAAGCATCTGTCATCCAAATGTGTGACTTGCATGCTTGCACTTTCTGGGACAGGATCCACCTCTAACTTCTACAGTCAGGGCCTGGAGTCCGCACCCCAGCTGCACAACGAGAACAGAGTCCTTAGGGAAGAAAACCGCAGCCTTCAGGCTCAGCTGAGTCACATATCCAGAGGTGGGTGGTCAAAAGCCACAGACTGTGGTCACTCTCGGGCCCCCTTCTTCCCTGGCCGCACCAGTCACTAATTGGAGAAGCAAAGAGAGGAGGTGGACATAGCAGCTACCCAGGTCCACCAACCCAAGATTCCCGTGGCCATTCTCAAACAGGACAGGGCTGCTCCTGAGAGATGCCAACTGCGGGCCCTCAGACTCCTATGTTCCAGGGACAAATAGCTCTAGAAAACCCACCACTTCTGTGCAAACCTGCCTACAGATGTGCAGTCATTGGCTATCAAAGTGGATACCACTTGGGTGTCTGTTCTACCTTCCCCATCTCACAGCTGAGTTTTTCTGGAACCAAAAAAGGAAGGAACACGAGTGCCTATAAACCCTCTGAAGCTTCTCCAGACTTTCCTGCAGCTCTGTGTGTCCCTCCTGGTACTGAGCTGCCATCCTGTGTCTCCTTACACGTCCCCTCTCTCATCAGTAAGGCTCTGTTTGGTCAGTGGTTCTCGTGGCTCCGTGTCTGGAAGCTCTTTCGTAGCTTCCCCAGCTCGGTGCAGTGGGCACCCGTGGGTGGGCATCGTTTCCTGGGTGGCCTGGGGTGCAACCGACCTTAGTGTTAATTGACTTGCTCACAAAACTATATCAGTAACAAATTAGTTTTATTTACAAATATTTATTGCGTAGCCATGAAAGACTAAGAATTATGTCCAAAAAGATTAAGCTCAGAATGAGTGAATGCCTCTGGAAAAGAAAAAGGTGGCGACAGATGAATCCAAATTAGCCACCACAGACCAAGCAGGTAGGAGAGGAAAGCTCACTGCTGGGGGGAGATAACAAAGTTAGTAGGTCAGAGAGAAGGTACGACTGCTCGCGTCCCCTGCGTGCCTGGAAAGACCGGGACAGGCCTCACGGGTGAAAAGATAGAAGAGATGAAATGAGTACAGTTTGCCAGGCCCCAGAGGACTGATGGTGCCTGCAGTCTTATTCTCAGACTCCCTGTCAAGAATATTTAAGAAATGAAGATTAGAAAGATGCCACAGGCCCAGAACAGAGGTCCCTATTTTCAAAATGATGACAATAATTATACTAACAACTGTAGACAAGACATCTTGATGTTGATCTTTGGCAAAATTCAAGAACGGATTATAGCTCAGAGAGTGGTGAGCACTCGGAAAACAGTGAGCATTAGAAACCAGAGTGTTTTCCCTAACAGCAAGGTAGGCCTTGTTGCATCAGAAGACCAAGGGCATGGCCAGACAGGCCCCCATTCCCCAGGGGGTGTGGACACAGTGACCCGGCATTCTCGTTGCCTCCCTGGCTGGCTGCAGCCTTAGTTCTGTCGACCAGGGTGGATGTGCGGAGGCTCATCTTCCTGCCGACCTTTACCCCAGTCTAACTGTCCTGTGCTCTGCCCGCCAGAGCATTCCCAGGAAACAGAGAGCCTGAGGGAGGCTCTGCGGGCCGCGAGGTCCCGGCTTCAAGAGCTGGAGATGGAGCTGGAGCACCAGAAGGTGGACCGGCAGCAGCTTTTGGAAGACTTGAAGGAGAAGCAGCAGGAGATCTTGCATTTCCAGGAGGAACGACTGTCCCTCCAGGAGAAAGACTCCAGGTGAGAGGGAGCCCACCAATAAGGAAAGTGTCCCAATCTCAGATGTAGAAGGGGTATTGACAAGGCTGTTAATGGCCCCTTTTAGAAACCTCAGTTTCCCCTTTGCTGTTTCTGATTTATGAGTGACTTCCAGCAGAAGGAAGGACTTCTCTGGGAATGCCTCTTTCACCCCAAAGTGGAGCGAGTAGAACTTCTACCCCAGCAGTGACGCCTGTTCCCAGGCTAAACTCGCTCACTGCGCGGCAGCGTGAGGAGAGCACTCCGGGGCAGTAGGGGTACCTACCCTGCCGGAGGGGCCTGGCTCTGTGGCACGACTCCAAGCAGAGTCACTTTACCTCTCCAAGCCTCTGTTTCCACACCTGTAACGCCGAAGCTGTGGTCTTCGTGACCCCCGAGTTGACAGCTAGGGCTAACACTCCAGGACGCAGAGGTTGGCCGGCAGCTCACGGCCCTGGTGTGGCCCCTCCCGCAGGCTGCAGTGGAAGCTGGGCCTCCTGCAGCAGCAGTACGAGGAGAAACAGCAGCTCTTCCAGACCCTGCAGTCGGAGCTGCAGATCTACGAGGCACTTCATGGCAGCTCCAAGACGGAGCTGAAAGGTATGAGCTCCCCCCGACTCCCCGACCCCGTGAGCTCCCTCCCCTTGCTCAGAATCCCAGTGGCCTTCTTTACTTTGGGAGTTCAGAGATCTTGGAAAGCTACAGAGTTCTGTCTCAGAAAAACCACCAGCCAGGCCTGGGGCTCCCAATCAAAAGAGAGGGGAGCTCTCACACGCAAAGTCCAGAGGTTGGTGACAACAGCAAGATTGAGCCTAGACATCCTGACAAATAGGCCACAAGAGTCAAACTTCACCCACCATCAAGGCCAGAAACAAGTTCATCAAAGTCCAGATTGTACAGTGACACTATTTAATTACAAAGACTGTTCTGATGATGTCATCATTTGAAAAAGGTCTTAAATATTTGAGTAATACCCACCGACCACCCATGCAGCCCATGTAGCAGGCAGCCCGCACCCTCTCTGACCCCTACCCTAGTGAGAAAATGAGAAGATACAGACATTGTTTTATGGAAATACCACCAATAGGACCTACATTTCAAGGCTGGATTTAGATTTAAACTCTTATTGAAGATGTTTGCCACCTGCTGAAATAATCATTTGAAAAGTCCCACACTTGATTAAAAATATCAGCGGTAAAACACAGGGTGTGGAAGCCTTGGTCTGTAGCCCTTCATGGGCTTGAGGGTGAGGGAATTAGGAAGAAAGACATTTCCAGAAGGAAGCTGTAGGCCAAGTTGCTGGAAGAGCCACCTCCCTGAGACCACAGCAGTGTGAGCATGTGTCCCTGTGGTGAGACCATGTCGGAAGTATTGTCAGATTGTGGGCACCATCTTGTAGTTTTTTTTTTTTTTTTATCCTCACCCGAGGACATTTTTCCATTTTTTTTTTTGTTCAGGTAGAGTGGGAGGGAGAGAGAGGAATAGAGAGAGAGAGAGAAACATCAATGTGAAAGGTACACATTGAGTGGCTGCCACCCGCACAACCAACCAGGGCCGGGGACAAACTGCAACCGAGGTACATGCCCTTAGCGGGAACCGAACCCGGGTCTCTCAGGACCGCAGGCCGACGCTCTAACCGCTGAGCCAAACCGGCCAGGGCTGTGGGCACCATCTTGTAAAAGGGACAGTATCATCTAAGGAACACAATGATGACATGGACCATAACCCGAGGGACCAGAAATCTCAAACTGGTTAAAGAAACAAAATATCTTTAGGCTTGGAAGAGATCCTGATGAGAACTGGGCCCGGCTGGTGTGGCTCAGTGGTTGAGCGTCAACCTATGCACCAAGCGGTCGCCGGTTCGATTCCTGGTCAGGGCACATGCCCAGGTTGTGGGCCTGATCCCCAGTGGGGGGCATGCAGGAGGCGGCCACTCCATGTTCTCTCTCATCAATGTTTCTCTCTCTCTCCCTCTCCCTTCTTCTCTCTCTAAAATCAATAAAGGAAAATTATTTTTAAGAAAGACGAGAACTGGCTTCACATAGTTGAAGAACTGTCAGGTGAAGAAGAACTGATATGTTTTGGGTTCTTCAGAAGGCTGAACAAAGGGCCACAGGGCGAAGGGCGAAGGGCGATGGGCTCGGCATCTACGTAACTCACGCTCTCCTTAGCACTAGGCCTTCTGTGCTGGAGTGGCTGGTTTGTGCAGGGGTAAGCTCCCCGTCCAAACCCTGCTTGCAGGGAGCGGGGTGCTTTGTCAGGCTGGCATAGCAGTTCCTGCTTTGGATGGGAGGTTCACCCCCTGAGTCTTTCAGCTCAGAAGTGGTTATTATTATTAAATGTTTAAAAATTCCATAAGCAATATGGTTTATTATATTTAGAAGTTTCAATATTCAGTCAAATTTGTATTTTCATAAAATCTGATTGAGTTTCCTAATTTTGCCGATGAGAAGGTGAACTGGAACTTGAGGAAATATAGAGAGCACAGGAAGCCGAGAGAGTAGCTTGTGTACAAAGTCATGGGGTCGGGAGACCACCCTGCCTATAGGAGAGCTTTGTATCAGGAGGGGAGAAGGCAGGTTAGTCGGAGGGACGGTTGCCAGTATATGGAAGACCTGTTAGGGAGGATGAAACTGCATTCTGTGAAGTAGGCAATAGAAAATGAGTTTGATTTTTCTGAGCAAAATAAGTACATGATGGAAATGGAAGTTTGAAGTGGTAAGACTGGTAGTCCATACTGGAGTTGGAAGACCTTAGGATCAGGAAACCTGTTGAATGGTTGTAATGATATTCTGGGTATTCAGTGATGACAGTCTAATCTAAGGTGCTTTCAGGGAGAAAACGCGGAATGGACAAGTGAAAAACATTTCTAATAAGAAAAATATTGTGAGAATGTGGATTTAGGGAAAGAGAGTGAGGCGCACCATGGAACTTTGGGGTTAGTATCCTGAATCACCTCCACTTTTGTACCTTTATTGTTTTTATGGGTCTTTTAGAATTAATTTCAAAGCCACTGCCACGAAAGCCCATCATCCTTTATTCTTAATTCTATAATCCAATAGGAGTTCTGAATTGAAATCATTTTCATATACTCATTTGGTGACAAAACCTAACTGAGCTGACAAAGTGTGTTCATGGTCTTCATTTATCCCACTTAGTGAGAATTACACATAAGTCATTGCAGAAATGCTAACGTGTTTGATTGAGTCCTGTGGCCCAGATGCGGCTGGGTGCCTGCATTATGTGTACATATGTATACATGGTACATGGTACATGGTACATGCACCCTAGCGCCTTGCTAAAGACCAAAACACACTTTGCCTTTTCAAACACATTTGGCCTCAAAGTTTTCAGATACATAATTGTGGTCTTAGAGATGGTTTCTGGTATCTCTTCTTCCCCAGGAGGTACAAATAGACTGTGTAGTGAGTGGCGGTAGCAAACATGGAGGGTAAAACATTCAGTTAGGTATGACCCCTGGTCTGTGGTGCCCGGCGCCCATTCTTACATGCTGCCAAAGGCCTGGTGCCTTCCTCCTCCCCCTTGATCCCTGAGTGTGGTGGTCATCAGCTCTTCCTCCCTCAGCCCCTGCCCTTTAGTTCTGTGCTGACCTGTCCTGGAAGTCCCTGCTCACTAGCCAGCAGGGCTGAAGTTAATGTGGAGATGAAATGATAGGCTGAACTCCTCTGCCAATCAAATGCCCTCTAGGTGCCGGTGGGTAATTTGAGCTTCAGAAAAATTCCAGACTGGAGTGTGTGCCAGACACCACATAGGAAAAGTGACGTTTCCATTACAGATGTGTCCCTGGGACCCTTAGATGACAATGGAGTCCTTGGCAGAAAGGAATGTCCCGGAGGAGTGTCTGACAAATGCTGAGAAATACTTGGATCAGTGCTGCCAAACCTCCTCTCTTCTTTCAGCTTATACCTGGGATACCTGCCACCAGGTCCCTTTGAGTAGTGACTTGAGCCACCTGGTGGCAGAGATCCGAGCCTTGAGGGCGCAGCTGGAGCAGAGCATCCAGGTGAACAACAGTCTGCGACTGCAGCTGGAGCAGCAGCTGGACGGTGGTGCCGGCAAAGCCAGCCTCGGCCCCGCCTCCATCAGCCAGACCTCGCCGGCCAACACTGACCCTGGAGACAGGCAGCTGCTCTTTCAAGGTAGGAAGGGGCACCAGGAAGCCCTGTGCCGGCGGGGAGGCCACCTGGACGTCGGTGGTGGAAGGGTCAGCCTTGCCTCTTCCAGGCCCCTTGAGGTCAGGGTGAACTCGGAGATGCTCCAGTTGGTGCCTGAGGCAGAGCACGGGGTTCAGGCTCAGACCTGCCTCCGGATTCTGAGTTTGCCGCTTACCGATGTTTGCCTGGGGAGGTGTCTGTCTGAACTCCTCGGGTACTTAAGTCTTACTTCCCTCACCTTTTAAGGTGTGGATAACAATAATATCTAGCTTGTGTGATTACTTGGAGCATTAAATGAAATAGTTTACAAGTACTTGGCACAGTAAGGATTGCTTAGCAATTGACAGCTGTGTCTTAACTATCCTTGTATTTGTGCAGTGTTTGAAATTTTACCGCACATTTTCAAACAATGTTTCAAATAACTTCATCTAAGCCAAGGCAGGTTTTACCCTCTGTGTAAAAGAGAATGTAAAGAAAATGTAGGCATTGAAACATCTGAGGCTGCCCGGCCAGTGTGGCTCAGTGGATCGAACGTCGACCCATGGACTGAGGGGTCCCAGTTCAATTCCCGGTCAGGACACATGCCTGAGTTTGGGGCTTGATCCCCAATAGGGGGCGTGCAGGAGGCAGCTGATCGATGTTTCTCTCTCACATCGATGTTGCTATCTCTCTCTCCCTTTCTTTTTCTCTAAAAAAAAAAACCCAATTAAAAATATTTTAAAAAAAAGAGAAACATCTGAGGCTACTGGAGCTGAGACCAACCAGGATCCAAACCAGAGGTTTTGATTTCCAGTCTAAGTTGCTCCCGCCTCACCGCACTGTCTCAGTGTTGCTGGCCTTTCACACTCTCGAGCCTGGCTTCCCTTCCCCTCACACGTGGCACTCAGCTGTGTGGGAAACCGTTCCTGCCCCTGAGGAGATCCTGGCCACGGGAGAGTAGTGGGGGTGGCTGTCGGCCAGTTCCGCCCCACACCTTGCCCACCTTTGCGCATAGAAATGTTTAACTGGTTCTCCCCGTCTCGGCTCAGTGTCCTTCATCAGTCTCGCTTCCCCTAGATTTTTTTTTTAATCCTCATCCAAAGACATTTTTCAAACATTTATCTTCAAATAGAGTGGGAAGAAGACAGAAACATCGATGTGAGAGAGACACATCGACTGGTTGCCTCCCACACAACCCCAACGAGGGCAGGGGACGAACTTCAACCAAGGTACGTGCCCTTGACCAGAATCAAACTCGTGACTCTTTGGTCTGCGGGCTGACGCTCTAACTGCTGAGCCAAACTGGCCAGGGCTCACTCCCCCTAGTTTTAACTTGAATGTTAATGCTGCCCCCATATCCCGGGCTCTTGACACATTTATCTCTGCTCCTCCTCCCCCTTTTTCCTGTTGAGTCACCATTTAATTCATATCCACTCACTCCATGGCCACATCCTCAATTTTATTTTAATCAGAAACCACTCTGTCAGGATTACCTGAACCTGAGCTTTCACACTTTCTTGCCTCCTTTTCCCGGGTATGCTAATCTTTCCATTGTTTTTTCTGGCTCTGCTAGATTTTCATTGATCAGACAATGACCACACCTGTCAAATGACGGTGATACTCCTCTGATCTGTTATTGTGGCCACTCGGCGTGTGTGGACTGGCATAGTCCCAGCACATGGAAGGGCTCGGCCCACATCAGGTGGCTGCCCCGCCTACATCGGGACTCAGCCGCTGGCTCAGCCATGGCTCCTCCCCTGTCCCACCACAGGGCTGAGCTGGGAGCGGGTTCCAGGCCACGTTTTCCTGAGCAGGATGGTTTCTGTCTTCTGGTCCTTTCCACTTCCTCACTGTAGGTTTGCTTCTTGGTCTCCCTTGGGCTTCTCCAGCCCACCAGGGCTTCTGTCTCCTGTTCTCGCACTGCTATAATTTTCCCAGTAACTCCTCATCAGAATGGTGATTAGGATGCTGACTTTAGTCGCCCATAGGTCCATTCAGTCCTTGATTCAATATTTTTAACATATATGCTACATATATTTATACTTAGTTGCAAAGCATAGTATTAGACAGTACATACAAAATTGTATTCAAAACTGGGATTAGAAACATATACCTAATAATTGTTTAAACGCGAACTTGCTTTCTCGTAGAGCAACCTTTCAATTTTAGGAACATCTTGTCCCAAACGAAGTGACTGGTTTGCTCTTGCTTTTGCTTGTGGTACGTGGGTGACGACTGTGTAAGGGGGGGTCATGCTGCCTAGACCTCCGATGGAGTGCTTGGTGAGCAGTGTTTCAGGGTTCCTGAAAACTGCTCCCGTCTTCACTCCAGATTCAGCTGCCTCCCCTCCAGTTCGGGATGTCGGCATGAAGCCAGCGCCGGGCTTCGCCAGCCCCGCTCCCGCTGCTCCTGGTGCAGACCCGGCCATCTTCAGTGGGACTGATGGTAAATATGGCGACTGAAGGACTCAGGGACCGGCCACGGAAAGTTATTCATGCAAGTAACCTTAGGTGACCTGGACACACGTTATCTGAATTTAGTGAGTTTTCTCTGTGTGTCCCAAGGCCTGAGCCCTACGCATTTCGAGTTCTGTGGCCGCCATTCCTGTCATACTTTCTCCCTGGTTCTCCTTTGGCTCCGCAGTTGCTTCATCGCACTGTATCTCTCCCTTCCTGGAAGTAGAGGAGTGAATAAAAAAGCTGTGGTACATATACACAGTGGAATACTATGCAGCTGTAAGAAAGATCTCTTATCCTTTGAGACGACGTGCAGGGACCTGGAAAGTATTATGCTGAGGGCAATAAGCTAGTCAGAGAAAGACAAGTACCACATGATCTCACTTATGTAGGGAACATTATGAACAAAATAAGCTGTTGACCAAAATAGATCCAGAGTCGTGGAAGTGGGGAACAGACTAACAAACCTCGGAGGGAGGGGGGTGAGGGGGGTAGGAAGAGATAAACCAAAGACATATGCATTTTTGCACAACCAGTGGACACAGACATTAGGCTGGGGAAAGTAGGAGAGTGGGGAGAGTGGGAAGGAGGGGATCATTGGGGAAAAAGAGGGGACATCTGTGATACTTTCAATAAAAAAAAAAAAAAGAAAAGAAAAGAAAGAAAGATGATAAAACATAGAGCCAAGTATCTGGGCTTCACGCCACACTCACACTTTTCCAAGGGCGCTTTCCTTGTTCCCGGCCCCTTTCAGTATCTTTTGGATTGACGTGAACTGGAGAAATGGTTATAAATGCTTTTTTTTGCTGTGGTTTTATTTTTCAGCGCTGGGTTTTGATGCTTCTCCAGTGACGACCCCTCCAAAGCTGGAGGGGGATGCTGCTGACGGCTCCTTTGCCAATAAGCATGGCCGCCACGTGGTTGGCCACATTGATGACTACAGCGCCCTCAGGCAGCAGATCGGAGAAGGCAAGCTGTTGGTCAAGAAGATCGCATCTGTCGTGAGATCAGCCTGCAGCTGCCCTGGCCTTGAAGCTCGGGGCACAGAGGTAGTCACATTGCAGCTCTTAGGTGCCCGATCCTGTACCCTTTCTTCTGGTTTCAGCTCCTTCTCCTCTGTTTCTTTCCTGCTTTACATCTCCCATCGCTGCAGACACGTCTTCCATCTGCACCCAGCCAGGCCTGTCTTCTTTGTCTCCTATTTTCACTGTAAACTCTGCTCCGTTTCAGACGCAGTTGACTTGATAGGTCCCCCTCAGAGCCCCAGAGAAGCCCACGCAGCCTCGCCACCCTCTTTAGCAGAGCATTTGCTCAGTGTTGACGCCCACGTGGTGCTGTGTTGGGCACCCTTTGGTAGCTTGTTATCTGTTACGGTCCTGTTGGCACGTGGCCATCCATGGTGAGAACAAAATCACTGAATCAGATGGCTAGACACTGAGAGTCCCCCTCCATTCGGGCACGTGTGTGGCAGGGTGAGAGCCTGGCAGCCATGGCATCTCCCTGTTGGGACTGAGCAGGGGAGGAGAGTGGGCAGCGCTTCACTGGGGAGAGACCGGGCACCTCTGGAGATGCACAGATGTGTGGGGACATCCTGTCCCCAGGAACCCACACTAGAGAGGAAGACACACATCCAAGTCAGTACGTGCAAGGGGCTCCGGCACAGTGTTCAACATCATCCCCTGGTGTGAAGGCCGTTGTCCCAGGCGAGGAAAGGCCAGGTTCCCGGAGGGCCGCGCAGGGGGGTGTGTAGGCTCTCTGGGTGGAGGAGGGTGTTCCCCGTAAAGAGAGTGGCACCTCGGGCCCTGGAGTTACAAGTGGTGCAGCCCAGTTGAGGCATAGGGTGAGACGTAGGGCAGGGCAGGGGTGTCAGGGCAGAAATGAGGGACTGGAGGGGAGGCAAGCATTCCCTTCCTCCCTTCTGGGTCCTTTGGCTGGCTTACTAATTCTATTGGCATAAGACAGTTCAATGGGAATAAAACAAATTTAATTTTGCATGGGAGCCCCAAAGATATGAGGCTCCAGGAAGGGACCAGAGCAGGCTGCCTTTATACCTTTTAGACAAAGACACATATCTGCGTGAAGAACTGGGGGCACGGGCTTGCGCTGGGAGGAGCCATGAGGTTGGTTTGTACAGCCCTCTCCGCCCTGGACTCTGCCTCTGGCCGTCAGATGTCCTCTACCTTCTGGTACAGGGTGGATTTATTTCCTGCTTTCAGGGGGACAAAGGAGGTCAGAGTGTCTTTCTTCAAATTAATCAATATGCCACAATGGCTAGTTTGCTCCTTCGGGACTTTAGACTCAAGAGCATGGAGCAGGACCAGCAGCTTAAAGAGAATGTGAGGGAAGCTGGAAGCAAATGAATGCCTCGCTCACAAAGGAAGCTTCATATCGCTGACACCTTGTGGGCCCACTGAGCTTGGGGGAGGTGGTCTGTCGGCCGGTGGTGCCCATGGCCCGCCCTCTGTCCCAGGTGCTCCGTGGCGAAGCCGTCCGTGAACTGGGGAGCAGTGCCAGCGCCCTGCGCCACGTGCTGGAGGAGTCGGCCTCCCTCCTCTCCATGTTCTGGAGAGCGGCCTTGCCGAGCTCCCATGGCAAAGTGGTAAGAGACCAGCATCCTTCACGGTTCTGCCCCCAGTCACCCTGCTGCCTCTCAGTCCCTGAAGCCCAGGAGCCCAGTGGTGAGCTGGACAGGCGGGGCCTTAGAGGAGTGTCCCCGGGGAGCACCTCTCACCTCTGGTGGTGCTGTCAGTGCGGTTCTGACCACACCCCTGCCCCTCCCACTCCCACCCGGGATAAGAAACCAAAGAGGAAAAGAAGGTGTACAGAGGCGGGAGAGATGTGAGAGCCTGGGTAACTCCCAGAGGCTCACTTTCTGAGGTTGGGCTGAGCTGAAGGTCAGGGACAGGTTAAAGCATCAACATTCTCACCCATCCACCATCTACAGTCAAGCAGGACCCCAGAATGTCACCAAGAGGTGACCAGACTCGCAACGACCCGCTGGAGCCCACCATGTCACTTCCATCTGCATCTTGGCTCTGGCCCGGGAGAGGCAGCCACCCCGGCTGCTCTGAAATCTCGAGCCTGCTTTCTGGTTGGTGGCACCTTGGACAGGCAGATTTCAGAATCCCCTCCCGGAGCTTCTAACTCCAGATGAATACTGCCAACACCTTGGGGGATGCAACTTTGCTAATTCCAAGGGAGGAGGTTTCTGCCATCTTGAGGCTGGCACAGATATTGACAAAACTGCAGAATGTCTTCGGCCAGCCCAGTCTCCCCAGGCACCGCATTCCTGTTCCCAAGGCGTACCTGTTTGCCACGCGATATACTGATGGCAGCACTGGGTCTGAGCTCTGTTCTCAGCTGGGAGATTCCATGCTGGCCTGGAGTCAGGTCTCTCCAGCAGCGGGGGTCAGGCCTCTCCAGCAGCGGGGGTCAGGCCTCTCCAGCAGCAGGGGTCAGGCCTCTCCAGCAGCAGGTCCAGCAGCAGGGGTCAGGTCTCTCCAGCAGCAGGGGTCAGGCCTCTCCAGCAGCAGGTCCAGCAGCAGGGGTCAGGTCTCTCCAGCAGCGGGGGTCAGGCCTCTCCAGCAGCAGGTCCAGCAGCGGGGGTCAGGCCTCTCCAGCAGCAGGGGTCAGGCCTCTCCAGCAGCAGGTCCAGCAGCAGGGGTCAGGTCTCTCCAGCAGCAGGGGTCAGGCCTCTCCAGCAGCAGGTCCAGCAGCAGGGGTCAGGCCTCTCCAGCAGCAGGGGTCAGGTCTCTCCAGCAGCAGGGGTCAGGTCTCTCCAGCAGCAGGGGTCAGGCCTCTCCAGCAGCAGGTCCAGCAGCAGGGGTCAGGTCTCTCCAGCAGCAGGTCCAGCAGCAGGGGTCAGGTCTCTCCAGCAGCAGGTCCAGCAGCAGGGGTCAGGCCTCTCCAGCAGCAGGTCCAGCAGCAGGGGTCAGGTCTCTCCAGCAGCAGGTCCAGCAGCAGGGGTCAGGCCTCTCCAGCAGCAGGGGTCAGGCCTCTCCAGCAGCAGGTCCAGCAGCAGGGGTCAGGTCTCTCCAGCAGCAGGTCCAGCAGCAGGGGTCAGGCCTCTCCAGCAGCAGGGGTCAGGCCTCTCCAGCAGCAGGTCCAGCAGCAGGGGTCAGGCCTGCTGATCAGCCTGGTGCTTCTGGCTCTCAGTGCTCCTGCCTAGCGGCCTCATCCCAAGCTGTCAGCAGCTGCAGGGTTTGAGAGACTTTCATGGAATCCAGTCCAGAAATGGTGGGAAGGCTGTAGAACCCTATTTGGGATTGTAAAAAACCACAAGCATGGGGTGCTCTGAACTTTCTGACCATTGACAGCAGCTGTTCCTCTTCCCCAGGGAGAGTCCATGAAAAGGGAACTTCTGGAACTGAGAGCCAAGCTGTCCAGACAGGAGAGTCTCCTTCAGAGCACAGCTGGGCGCCTGAGGACCACCAGCCAGCAGAAGGAGAGCTTGGAGCAGTTCGTCTTCAGCCAGTGTGGGTGCCCCCCGAGCCAGGGAGTGGGAGAGGAAATGGGGAGCTTCCAGACTCCCATGTGCTGCGGATGGAGAGTGACCAGAGAACTTAGGGAGGGGGGGACTGATGTGGCATCCCGAACCTCCTTTGCCATGTGTCACCATGGATGCAGGAGGATGGTGGGACTTTGGGGACAGCAGGGGACCCCGAGTTGAGTTGGCCAGAAACACTTTGGAACACACACCAAGGCAAGTGTGGGCCCAGCTGGTAATCTCTGCCTTTGTTGGGCTATTCTGTCGTTTCAGTGACCAGGACACATGACGTTTTGAAGAAGGCAAGGACTAATCTGGAGGTAAGAAAACCAGTCACCGGTCAGAGCCAGAGAGCCCACCCCAAAACCCATCTCCGTCCAGAGTCTGCGGGTGATCCTCCACCTGCTCTGACCATCGGGTTTCTGGTTCACTTGTGGGAGCACAGGTGGTCAGCGGGTGTCCTCCGATTCCACCTCCTCAGCCCTCCCTCCCCAGGGGCTCCCTGGGTTCACTGTCACGTGGGCACATCTCTCTGCACTCCAACCATGCCTCCTTTTCTGCCAAGTCAGGCCCCAGGGAAATGCGGTGCCGCTGATGCTGGAGGGCAGAGGACACATGGGAGCCGGCCTCACATTCGCTTTCAGAAAGGGCTCCTGAGGCCAATTCCGTGTTCTGGAATTTTCTATGCTACTTTATGAAAAAATAAAAGCAAGATGCAACCTAATAAATTGATTTCACTGCACTCTGTTGGGCTGAAAACAGCAATTTGATTTTGATACATCTTTTCCTTTTAAGCACTATCACAAAAGAAACCGCTGGGTCTTACTGACCCAAAAGAGAATTTGACACCTAAAGACTGAACTTGAAGGGAAAGATGTCACTTAAACGGCAGACGTTCTCTAGTTACTTAAACATTGACACGTTTCCTAGCAAGTACTTTGAAGAAACACTGGAGATGTTAGAAATGGCTTAAAAATCAGACACCAAGTCTTTGAACCTGGACTTGAACGCTTTGCCGTAAGCAGTTGAGCCTATTCCTAAGTGGTAACCTAGGAGAATGTGGGTTTCCCCGTGTGAAAATGGGTTGGGCCCTGATTGGACTCTGCATACCCCCCCTATTTTTTGCTTAATTCCCTTTGTTTTTCTCTGATGATTCCTTTCTTTCCTGAGCCTTTTTAGAAGACCACTTCCAAGATTGCCTCTGTAAAGCCTTATTCCTGCCCCAGCAAAGGTAACCCCTGGCTTGGCACCCGCTGGCGTCTCCGTTCTGGAAACGTTCTCTCTACTCCCACGAGGCCACTGCGGAGGGCCCGAGGCCCGAGTTCTAGTCCCAGGCTTGTCACTAACTGGTTGTGTGGCTTTGGCTGGCCCCTAGTCTCTGAGCCTACTGCCCCTCTGGAAGAGGCGGCGCTGGACCTGAGTGGTCTCTGAGGTCCCTGCTGACTTGGCCCCTTTTCTCCTCGTTAAGTACATGGGACCTGGCGGGGGACTCTCCTGCACAGCACCCTCTCCTTCCCACACAGCTGTTTCTGTGTATGCGTGTGACATGCTTTCCCTGGGATGTCACCGAAGGCATCGTTTTGCTCCAAGTGACCTGGAGAGGGGGTGGCAGGATCTGGCACCGCCTGTCCAGTGGTTTGAGCAGGGGCAATGTGGAGGCGGGAACCTTTCCTCTAACCTGATGGCACCAGCTGCTTCCCAGCCGCAGGGCATCCCCTCAGCCCCTCCTCCTAACAGGCCCTCACAGTGCTCCTGCCTCGGCCCCCACTCGGCTCACTCAGCCTTGGCCACCACCAGCAGGGCCTGATAACAGACCTGGCTTTGCTTTACTTTTGTCTCCAGGTGAAATCCCTCCGGGCTCTGCCGTGCACGCCAGTCTTGTGACCCTTGCCTTCCAGGAGCCATGCAAGAAGCGAAGCCACCAGAGGTCCTTAAAGCAGCAGGAAGGCTGGGCCTGCCCCCCTTTTGTGCAACTTCCTATCTGCTGAGGAAATCTCGGCCCTACTCCTCCACTCCTGCCGGGGGAGGAGCCAGAGCCGAGGCCTCGTGGGCAGGGCGAAGGCACAGAGCCTTTCCTGCACTCGGAACACAGCCAAGGCCCATGCCGGGCACCAAGCAAAGCACGCGTAGTTTGTAGAGGGCCTCGGCCGCCGCACCTGAGTGCCCGGGCGTGGGAACCAGCATCGGCACACTTCTCACCTCAGCAGCTCTCCGCAGAGGGTCAACTCGGGCAAGAGGACCCTGCTTCCTCCCAATGGGGGTGGTCCCACCGCTGTGCTCCTCCGGTTCTAAAAGCACAGACCGACCAGCAACGCCCTGGGCTCGGCCAGCAGGACACCTGACCGGCGCGACACCTGACCTGCGCTCAGCTGGGCCACAGCCAGGCCGCGTCTGCCTCCACAGGCTCCTGAGCGCTCCGAATGCACATGGTGGGAGGCGTGACTTCCCGGGGACCTCTCACGCTTAGCCTGGCCCCTCCGACTTTCTTCTTTTCGGACCCCCGAAGTGTTCCATTTGAACATCCTAACCTTTCTCGGGGAATTGGGACTACGGCCAGACCAGGCCCATCGAGAGTCTCGTGTCAAGCAAACCAGTGGTCCTTTTTAGGTGGCATGTGAGAGATGCCCAGTTGTGCTAAAGCCTAGTCTGTCTTCACAGGGCTTTAGAAGTGTGTATGTGTGTATAGATGTATGATATATATTTATATATGTTGCTAGAGCGATAGGTTGAAGGCCGACATAACTGGTGGACAGGGTCTGAGAGAGGAAATGAAATCATTTTTTCTGGTGGCTACTGGAGCAAAATGTGCATAAAGAAATAAAGATTTCCTTCGTCTGCTTCATCTCCAGTCTGCCTAAGTCTCGGCTGAGTGTGTAAGAACAGGAAGTACAAACTGTCCTTGAGAAGCCCATAGCCTCATACTTGAAGTCTAAGTTGAAAAGAAGAGTTTTCCTTGTCATTTGGTGAGAATCCCCAGTCTAAAAATATAAAGAGCTTTTCTTAAATTTGGGGTGCCTTAGAATCACCTGTGGAGATTACAGAAGATAATTCCTGGGCCCGAACCCAAGAGTGAGTTGGTGTGGGGCCCTAGGATCTGCATTTTTTACATAAATACCCCAGGTAATCTGATGCAGGTGGGCTGCAGACCACAGTTCAAGAAACACTGTTTTATAACACTGGATCAAAACTGTAAATACACTTAAATTAATAACCTTTAATTAAAAAGTTGGTAAGTCATTCCATAAATATTGACATAAAGATCTTAAAATATTTCTTGGGGAAAGTCCTTAGTTATGTCTTCTTGCTTTCCAGAACTAAAACAAAGCTACCACTCCACAATTATTTCCTAGAAACAGTTAAAAAATTAAAACAACAACAGAAAGGATCCATCAACAGACTCATGCCTCAGCTATGGACACACCTTGCTTTCGCAGTGGACGGTGTGACCTCCGCGTCTGTGTTCACACTCGGTTCGAGTATTTCCATGGGTGTCTCCGGCGTCAGTCCGGAGGACCTTGCTGGCAGACTCCGACTTCCTTTTCTGCCTCTTCCATTTTTGAGGCTCCTTGTAATTGCACGGGGCCCACCTGGATAGTCCAGGATAATCTCATCTCAAGGCCCTTAATGTAATCACATCTGCAAAGTCCCTTTTGCTTGTAATATATTAAAATATTCACATATTCTGGGGATTAGAACAGAAACATGGGAGGGGAGAGGGCATTCTGACTACTACAACACTGTTAACAAAGATGCCAACAAATATTAGAACTAAAAAAAAAAATCTTTGCCAATTTCAACAGTTTAGTAAAATTAAGACACCCCTGGAGACCATCTCGAACAGCAAATCAAGACAAAGCCAAGTTAGAACCTAGAAGTGCTCCACTGGGGACCATAAACCTGCACAGGTACTGGTTACTTTAGACCAGTTGTTTTGTTTTTCGGATGTGGGTTTTATTTTTTCCCCTCCAAAGGCTGGCTTTGATTGTAGAGCTCTCACCCGAGCCAGGAGCATGTGGTGGAGGAAGGGAATAGTGGTAGTGTCAGTGCAGCTGGGACCCCACTAACTTTTGAACTTTCAGCTAGGTCAAAATGGGGCAGATACAGGATGGCTTTCTTTGGATGTCCCTTGCCCAGTCATGGGCCCAGGAGGCCACGAGGGGGCGCCATAGTCCGTCCCTTGGAACCATACATTTTGAAATACAGTTTAGCCAGGTGTAGAATTCTGTACGAGAAGGTGCGCCACCCCTGGACTTTTCGAGTCACAGATGAGCAGTGGCAAACAGGAGGTTCCCTCTTTTGAGTCACCTCAACCCGAGAGACGTCTTGGATCAGCACGCACTTCCTAGGCCTGGGAAATAGCAATCAGTGGGAGCCCTGGTTCTGCACGCCTGAGTTTCAAGAGGAAGGACCGCGGGGACGTCTAGCGGCGCCCGCATAGGCTGCGCTGGGCCCGGGAGCTGCAAGCACCCGGGAGGCCAGAAAAGCAGGGATCCTAAAACAACAAAAACCAAAATAAACAGCCCAAGTGCCCCCAATTAGACAAAGGAGAAGGTTAATGGAGCCACAGACACTCCTCTCCGGGCTGCTGTGTCAGGCCTTGGGGGTCTCGGGCGGAGTCTCGGCCGCCGTGGACCTTGGTCCTCCGGGTGCCTTGCCCCGGAGCCACCTCGCCCGCCCGCCCCGCCCGCCGAGTTCAAACGGAGGAAGCGCACGGGGCTGCCGGCTGTCCCGGGCCCGGGACCCTCTCTCTGTTATGATTCCAGTGCAAACCCCAGCCGCTGCGGTCTCCACACCCGCCCAGGCACAGCGTGACCGCAGCGGCCACCACGACCTGCGCGCTGTGGTTCGGCCCACGTGGCCTTTGATGTAGGAGACGCCAGAGCAGAGTGCCCCCGTCTGGCCCCCCTCATCCTCCGGACCCCCGCCTCACGCCTCCTCGGCTTTCCCTGTGCACCCCTCTCCCGCCACCGCGTCCGGGCACCGTGCTGGGGGGAGCTCCGTGCGGTTCCAGGCGGTGCGCTCTAGACGCTTCCAGAGCGTCTCTAAGTCGGCAGCTAGAATGGAGGTGGAGTGCCCGGGAGATGTTTTGGTTCGGACCCCGCCCCGCCGCACGTCCTGGGCGCCTCCCAGGGCCGAGGGGCGGAGCTCCCTCCTTCCGCCCGTGGACCCGCCTCTGGAGGCCTGAGGGCGGCGCGGCGGGGACACAGCCGGTTCGTGTCTTCACCGCGTCCGTCCCCTCCAGTGGGTGGAAAGGTGGTGAGCGCGAAGGGTGACGCCGGCCAAGCCCGAGTGGCTTTGGTCTCAGCCCTAGAGGAGCGGTTCTGGGGCGCCGAGGAGCCGGCGGGGAGGCCGTGCGTTGGGGCATCGGATCCCCAGCTCACCGCAGCTCGGTGTCAGCGCCAGAAGCGCCCAATGACGCGACTCTGCGTCCCGGGCGCGGGCGGGCTGGACAGGCCGGCGGGATTGGAATCTTCCCAGCTGGGCTGGAGGAGACGGGGTGCGGTCTCATCCCATGAAATTCGCACGTGAGCTAATGCCAGTCGTGTGTGGGCGGAAATCCGAAATCCGTTAGGGGTGCGGCTGTTAACTGCAGGGCGGTGGTTCCAGCCTACCCAGTGGCAAAACCTGGCAGCCAAGGCCTCTTCAGTGCTTTTCTAGGGCCTGCACCCCTCAGGTCCCCTCGCCCTTATCCTTAAGGTCCCGGGATCTCCAGGGAGCTTCTCCCAGCAAACTGCTTCTTCCTGGTCTCCTCGCGCCACCTGGAGGGCTGCGTGGTCATTGCCTTCTGGCTTCCAGGGGATCTGCCAGGGCCAGAGGCTGCCGCACAGTCGCTTACTCCAGCTGTCGCCTGGCAAATTAGGCTCCAAGTTACCACTTGCTCAGGCTCCAGGTTGTAGCACCTCAACACACAGTACTCACCGCAGGGTCTCAGGCCCATGTCCCTTTGGTCTGGGATTGTCGCACAATCTTAAAAGATTAAATTCACACACAGTAAGATTTACCCATTGTAAACTTACATTTCAATGACGTAGACTTGGGCAACTAGTACCACAATCCAGTTTTACAACAGTTCCCTCAGCTTTCCCAAGTGCCCTCCTGGCCCTGTGCAGGCAATCCTGGCTCCCTCCTCCAGCCCCAAGAAACATTAACCTGCTTTTCATCTGTATAGATTCATCAATTTGAGACATTTCATATAAATCGGATATATTTTGACTGGTTCCTTTACTTAGTATAAAGTTTTTGAGGTTCATCCATGCTGTAGCTTGTATCAGATTTCATTGCTTTTTATTGCTAAATATAGTCCATTGTGTAGATATACCATGTTTTGTTTATCCATTCACCAGCTGATGGGCATTTGAGTTGTTTCCAGCTTTGTTGTTGTTGTTATGTTTAATGCTGCTATGAATATTTCTGAACAAGTCTTGTGTGGACCTATCTTTTCATTTCTCTTGAATAGATTTCTATAGGACATTGAAAAAAAGAAATGAAGAAAGATAGAGGTATCACCTCACACCTGTCAGAATGGCCACCATCAACAAATCATCAAACAACAAGTGTTGGCGAGGGTGTGGAGAAAAGGGGACTCTAGTACACTGCTGGTGGGAATGCAGACTGGTACAGCCACTATGGAAAACACTATGATGTTACCTCAAAAAATTAAAAATTGATCTGCCATTTGACCTACTGATGCCACTTCTAGGAATATACCCTAAGAATCCTGAAACATCAATCCGAAAGAATATATGTACCCCCATGTTCATAGCAGCACTATTTACAATAGCTAAGATCTGGAAACAGCCCAAGTCCATCAGTAGACGAATGGATAAAAAAGCTGTGGTACATATACACAATGGAGTACTATGCAGCTGTAAGAAAGAAAGTTCTCTTATTTTTTGAGACGACATGGAGGGACCTGGAGAGTATTATCCTAAGCGAAACAAGCCAAGCTGAGAAAGACAAATATCACATGATCTCACCTATTTATGGA